AATAATTTTTTCAATGAAGAGTAGTAAAGTAACAGGAACTTACCCCAAGTAAATTCATCTGGCTAGACCAACTCCAGAATCATACCCTCCCCTTCAGGAGACCCTCCTGAGCCACACTAGATATCTGAGGCTTACTTCATTTTCTTTCTTTCCTTCCTCTTCCCCTTCCTTCCCTACTTGTACCTTTCTTTTTCCAATTCTTTTTTTCCTTCCTCCTTCCTTTCTTTTCCTCCCCTTTTGTTTTAACCCTAGTATATTCACTGATCATGCATCTGCGGTAGGCTGAAGCAACTGTTTGGTGGAGAACCTTCAACATTTGAACATGCAGATAGATCTTCAGAAAACAAACTAGGGTTGAACATCTCCCACTTGCAATTCATGGCCAGTTCTATACTTCAGGCCACAGTGGCATCATGGGATGCACAACCATTGCTCGTGTTAGTTCCCCCACACGTCAGGCTATAGCTGCTCTCCTGGAGTCTAAGGTCCTCGGTCACTACCTTGTGCATGCTCTCCCACTTTCCAGGTCTCCTTGAGGCGGCAGCAAGTGGGTGAAAGACTGAATGAATGGGCAGTGTTCAGCGAAAAGAACAAGGAGCTCTGTGAGTGGCTGACCCAGATGGAAAGCAAAGTATCTCAGAATGGAGACATTCTCATTGAGGAGATGATAGAGAAGCTCAAGAAGGTGAGTGAGCCCGGTGGCTCTGGTCTCCACGCTACAGCACACTTCCGTGCCCTTGCGTGGGCACGGATGGCTTCACAATCACTTCCTTGTTGGAAGAACACTATATGGTTCTAGTTTATCTTTCAGACATGAAATAGACTTGCTTGAGAAGTTCTGCTTTGTATACAAAATATTATAGAATACTTTCAATTTATGAGGAAGCAGATTATCTGCTACCTTTGTAGCTGAAATCATATGCATTTTTTTTCTCTTATTTTTTCTGTTGCAATTTTTAAAGAGACAAAATAATCACTAGAGAGGAGCTACAAGAAAAATACTCAGGGTAAATTAAGCTGAAATTTTCTCTCCAAAACAGTCGTATTACACTGACACATGCGTAGCTATGTTTATAGTAGCGCGCTTCATATTAACTAAATCTTGGAGGCAGCCTAGGCATCCATCAACACACGGATAAAGAAAATGTGTTATTTGCACATAATTGGGCTCTGCTCTGCCACGAAGATAAACTTAAATTATTTGTAGGAAAATGGGAGCAGCTCAAGACATGATGTTAGGTGAGATACATCAGACGCACAAACATAAATATCACATGACTTCTTTTGTATTAGAACCCTAAATTATAAAGCACAGCAAAATGGAAGATAAATAATGGGAAATTGGGAGGTTGATCTTGGGAAGGAGAACAAGAGATGAAGGAAGGAAGGAAGGAAGGAAAGAAGGAAGGAAGGAGGGAAGGAAGGAAGGAAGGAAGGAAGGGAGGGAGGGAGGGAGGGAGGGAGGGAAGGAAGGAAGGAAGGAAGGAAGGAAGGAAGGAAGGAAGGAAGGAAGGAAGGAAGGAAGGAAAATCAAACGAGGTGGCTACAGAGATACCTCGGCAGTGTAAACACCTGCCTAGAAGAGCGAGGACCTGAGTTCAGTCCTCACTACTGCATGCCATGAAGAACCTCAGGCACATTGTGCGGGCCCTGAAACTGGGCAGGGTAGTACACGCCTGTACCCTACCAGTGCCAGGGACGCTGAGACAGGAGGATCAAAAGTCTGAGTTGTGTAGAGAGACCCTGTACCAAATAAATAAATAAAAGATGAAAAGTGAAATTAAAATGTGTTATATACCAAATCCTCACAAGAATGTAAACAGTACATATTGCAAATGCTGTAATAATTTTTTTTTTAAAGAACTCAAAATTCAGTTCATTTTTTTCAAAGGAACGAATTATGGTCTTATTCATTCTGAAAAGAAGTAGAAATGGTTGTATCATAAGCTTTCTGCCAACTAATTCTATGAGGATTGATTCTAAACATATAATCAGGTTAGTGATTGAGGAATAAAGTGTGCTTTCCCACTATGAAGCTCTTTGAGCTTTGTATCTATGCACTCTATTGCTTTAATGCCCACGTTGAGTGCACAGAAGGCACCTCCTTATCCCGCTAAGAATATCTACATAAAAATTAATCTGAGCTGGTTGTAGGTGACACATACCTATAATCCCATCAGTCTGGGAGGGTGATTCCAGACAGTTGCAGTTTGAGCCAAGCTTGTGCAAGTTCGTAATTTAAAAGACTCAGAGTTAAAGGTTGGGTGGTAGCTGCGAGTAGAACTCAGTGTAAAGGCTATAGTGCCCCAGGACCACAATCAATCAATCAATTTTGAAAAACTTAATCCAGACTAAAAGCATGCATACTGAAAATATTAGGGACACACCACTAATTCTCATGCATGTGTGCTGATTTTCACCTAGTGGTCCTCAGACCCGAACTACCTCCAACCAGTGGAAAACTATAATTTCCATGTGTCTAGAGTAGTTGAATGAATATGCTTTCTGACCTCTGTGATTGCTATTTATTACTCAGGATTACCAGGAGGAAATTGCTGTTGCCCAAGAGAACAAAATACAGCTCCAGCAAATGGGAGAACGACTCGCCAGAGCCAGCCACGAGAGCAAAGCCTCTGAGATTGAGTACAAGCTGGGAAAGGTTAATGACCGCTGGCAGCACCTCCTGGATCTCATCGCAGCCAGGTAAAGAGGGACCCAGCTCAGCAGGACACACGCACACAGAGCTTCAAGGCCTTTTCTGCCCCCCATTTATTGCAGCTAAAAATAACCCAATAAATTGCTTGCTTCCTGCCTGTGTTATCCCACCATTCTGAAAAATGTTCATTCTGTTCTCCTAAAGGGCACTTTCATTAACTTTAAAATTTTTCTTGGTTTGCAAATCTAGTGTTGCTTGCAGATAGCTGAGAAAGAATCATACCCAAATAATATCCATTCTCAAGAGAAAGTGTTTTATTTCAGGACTTCAGAAGCTGCTTGTCTACCATAGCAAACAGAAAATGCAAAAAAACCCACAAAATAGTGGCGTCACATCCTGTTAGATGTTTGGTTAGCGCATGTAAGTCTAAAGCTGATAATTGCCACCCATGGTACTTAGATATAAAAATAAGCTGCTTTGTTGTTGTAATTTTGTGCTTAGCCTTAATAGCAGCTATGGTATTTCCTCATACCTGAGAGGTAGGTTACAGTCAGTCTGTATTGCAGAAGCCGGTGTAAATAAAAGGGATTAGCAGGCAAGATACTATAAAAGAAGATATGAAAGTCTTCAGGAGCAATACAGATTCTGCTGTGATTGAATGCAGCACTGTTATTTGCTATAAAAGGAGGGAATGACTAAGTGGTTGCTTGCTTGTAGGTCCGCTTGGCTTCCCGTTGCAATGCAAGCTCCGTGAGGTCAGGCAGCCTCATCCCACGTGCTGATGGTGGATCACAAGCACAAGTGCCTGGGTGGCGGTGTGACTTAGTGTAGGATGCTTACCTAGCTAGCACGTGCAAGGCTTTGCGTTCCATCTCCAGCACTAAAAAGAAAAAAAAAAAAAATACTGAATGTGGTATGGGGTTGATATTTCAAGGAATGAATGCATAAATTCTTTAATATTTATGTAGGTGTCCCTCATCATAGCAGGTAGGAGACATGGAATATTGCCAGTGCCCCTGAATTATAGCCCCTGGGAGCCACCCCACAGTGTTTTGTAAATCTCAGTCGCTGTCCTTAGCTGTCCTATGCGCATGAAATAGTGCCCTTTGTACGTGTGACACCACAGTTCTGCATGCCATGTTTGAAAACACTATTTTCTTCTGTGAGGAAGTCATCGAAGAATGTCTAACTCAAGCAGAGATTATTTCTTTTGATACTGAAACAAAAGTGGAATGAATGTCTCTCAGTTTTTAAAATGTTTTTCACGACAGTACTGCAGCAGTATTTCCAGTATTTCTTTTTTTTTTTTTTTTTATGTATTTTGTACAGGGTTTCACTACACAGCTTGGACTCTTAGTGATTCTCCTGTTTTCAGCCTCCCTAGCGCTAGGATTACAGGCATGCTCTGCCTCGCCTAGTCTCAATCGCCTTCTAGCACACCACAGGGGCGGGGCTGGCATGGCACGCTGGGGATCGAAACCCGGTCCCTGCGTCTGCCTAAGCAGGCATTTTAGTCCTCCAAGCTGTCTGGCTGGCCTGTCCCAGTATTTCTTGAGGTTACTTAATTTACTTTCTGGAAAGACACAATAAGATTTAATCAGTGATGGCCATACAAGGTACACAGGCTTTGCGTGATAGTCGCTTAGACGCCCATCCACAGGCCCATTTCTGTAGGGCCTCGTCTCACACAGATATCATTCCATTTCTAATTACCTCTTTAAGAATTAGATCAGATAACATACTGATCACTGACTTGCCGTGCTGTTTAACACCACATCGGAAGCCCGGGTTCTGTTTTGCTTCTCCCAAGACACCTGGCCACCACATTTGCTTTCCCTTTCCTTGTTTACTGGGACTGAGGCTGTGGGACTCTCCTACACCTGTCTTCAGCTATAAACTGCCAGCTGCGATGCTACATTCAGTGAGTCAGGTTCATCCAGAACTCTCCCCACTGCCAACGTTTGCCACACTGATTCACTGAAGCAGAACATAAGTTGCTGTGTGCCTCTGATATTTTTTATATTTCTTATATGCTTTGTGAAGAAAATTTGGAAACTCATGAAATTTACATAAAGAAAAGTTAACTGGAACCCACCAAGCAAATGAATAGACTTGAAAACTTACCTTTTTTTTTTGAAGTAACTTTTTTTTTCCCATAATTTTATTGATAAACAAATAGCAATGAGACAGTTTCAGATCAAATTGGTAGGACAGTTTCAATAATTAACACATTGCATACATTCTTCCTAGGGGTTAATTAAAATAAATATGCTGTTTGGGGCCAGGGAGATGGCTCAGTGGAATAAGCGCTTCCCTGGCAAGCGCAAGGGCCTGAGTTCAATCCCCAGTTCTGCCAAAAAGAAAAATAAATAAATAAATAAACATGCTGTTAATCACCTACATCATCATTTTTTTTCCTTTTCTCCTTTTCTTCTCTTTTTTTTTTTTCTTTTTTCCTTTCTTTCCCCCCTTTTTAAAATTTCCTTTTGCTCTTGTTTGCTTGTTTTTTTATTTTTTGAGACAGGATCTCACTATACATATTGTTGAACTTGTGGGTTTCCTGCCTCTGCCTCCCAAGCGCTAGGATTACTTACATCATTATTTTTAATAAGACAAGCATTTTCAACATGAAAAGGAAAGACTAGCATTTCTTCATTTTTGTTCATACTAAAATAGTCTTCCCAAAGGACATCCTGAGTGCTTTCCTGCAGCCTCTCTTTCCCCTCCCATTGCCCAGATGATCTGTGGCAGTCCTACTTACACCAGTGGGCTGGCAGACTGAACTGAAGAAAAAGAGAAGTTGCTCCCTTATGCTGCTCCAACTTGCTGTTCTTGTGGAGCTTTAGCTGGTTCGTGTACACATGCGTGGTTTGTCTTTCTCAAGTAGCCTTTCCAGTGTCACAAAAAGCCAGCAAGTTTGTCCTTCCAAAAGGGTGGAGCATCTGCAGCTGGCATTATTTTTGAGATCCTTTCTTTAGACTTGTAGCCGCCTCCTCCCAGCAGATTACACTGAGCTTGTTCCCCTTCTTACCCTTGTGGCCTACATTCCAGGAGCTCAAGCCTGGCACATGTTAATGAATGTAGGTTTTATTTAGAAACATGACCACTTGTCACCACTCAGTGTCATGTTATCAGGCAGAGACTTCCACCATTTGTCTGGCGTGAGCCTTTTCAAACTTCTCTACACAGAGAACAGGAAACTTTCATCCCCACTCGGGATATAACCTTCTGCTCTGCAGACCCTACCTTTTGCAAGCGGAAGCTTCATGGTGCTGGTGGAGGACTTGCGTGCCCTCAGGATGACAGAGGACTCCAGTGTGGACGCAGACCTCCCAGACTGCAACTGCGATGTCACCAGGCAGGCGTCTCCTTGAGTTTCTGTCATGGCACATAGCTTTCGGGTTACGTGGGGTTGGAGCATAGACGTCAGACGGTTTAATCCTGAGTTGTTTTTGCATCGTTCGGTGAAAGTGACTGGTGTTAGGAGATTGTCGGTCATGGACTCTAAAGAGTTATTTGTTGGTTTGCTGTTTAGTTCATCTGCTGGGCATGTGTGGCTGGCTGGAAAGGCTAAAAGCTTTATTCTGACTTGATATTCCAGTTGTCATGTGAGGGGCAATGGCTATGGAGAGAGGCTGCGACACAGGAAGGAGACTGAGCAAAAGACCAGCGAGGCTATTGCCTGCTACTTATAGGATGGTTTTTTTGATCAAACTCAAACTCAGCCTTAGGCAGTCTACAGCTCATAGCCAAAACTTTCTCTTTAATAAGAATCAGAATTCAGAGGCCTACAGGATTTTGTGTAAAGACTGCTTTTGTTTGTGTCTATCAATTAATTTTGTCCACTTGCTAATACAAATCTTATGAAATAGATGATTTAAATGTACACATTTGTATCTCAAGTAGTAACTAGTGCATGATGCAAATATTTAATTCTTAGAGTGTCTTCCCCCTTTAAGAATAACAGGACAAAATTTTTTCTTTTAATTTTTAAAAATGTATTTCTTTCATCATGTTTATCCCCCAATAAATGCATATAGATGAATAGGGTTCACAGATGGTATTCTTGGTTCTATGGTATTTAGAATTCAGGTTTTTGTTTTTTGGGGGATTATGGATATACTGAATAAATTTGAAGGGAGTGATGTATGCATAAAATATTGAGGGAGAGAGGGAGGAAGGAAGACAGAGAATATATATATATATATATATATATATATATATATATATATTCATGTGACAGTGTTGATATTAGACTCAACAGATCCCTCCCAACAAAGGCAAGGTGCCTGAGACACACACTGGCCTATGAACAGAGAACCATGACATGCAAGGACTTAAAGTTTTGCTGGGCTGGCTCACATCTGCGAGCATCTATTTTGAATTGTAATCTTGGATGCTATCAAAAGCAATGCCGCTCCAACTTCTTGCAATGATAGATAATTAAAATATTGTGACATTATTTATTTTTTCATTTTATGTATTTGGTACAGGCTCTCACTACGCAAGTCAGACTCATAGTGATCCTCCTGTTTCAGCCTCCCCAGCATGGGGATTACACCTGGTTGTGGTTGCCTACTCATTGTACTCAGCTTGGCAGTCAGGCACTTGGACCGCCAAGCTAGCTCCCTAACCCCTTGTGTCACTTTAACCAAGGATTTTCCTTTAAAGAAATAATGGAAGGAAGGAGGCATTTAACCTGTGATTCCTGACCTACAAATACCAATTTTTTTTTCTGAACCTTACAGAAATTCTTCATTCAACAAATCTTTTACAGTATTTCTACCCTCTACTCCTTTGTGGAATAGGCAACATCATCAACCAATCACACTGAAAAGCCCTTAATGTCAGCCAATATTGAAATTTCAGCTCCTCCCCACCCTGAATATTAAATACATGTGGTCTGGCCACCTGGATAACACTTTCTTGGTAATAGACAGTAGTAACATATTCTTTCTGGGTTCACATGAGTTCTTGTTGGTGCCTGCACCAAGCAAGTATACAGGGCCTTCATTGCCCACCTCCTCCCAGCCTACATTGGTTCCCCCAGAAAACAAGATAGTTTGCTATTTGTAGTATATGACAACTTTTAAATCCCGATAAAAGAGACCTACTTAAATGTCCACTCCCACTGCCTTTACTAAATTTATACCTTAGGTTGAGAAGGGAACTTTTTCCTAATGGACTATATGAACAAGCATTTCCATGTCACAGTGCCCTTGATGTATCATACACTAACCACTTTGACTTGGAACTCATGCAATATTATTCAGTGTTATAAATCCTGTAATTTATTTTGCTGGTATAGACAGTCCAGTGGAACCATATTTATTCATATCCCTTTGTGTTTGGGATCTTTTGGTCAGATTTGTGGTTTTTGAACCAAGAAGAGGAGTGATAAATAGACCATTTGCAAATGTTGAACCTAAAGGAAAGAAGTAGACACTTAATATCAATTTTAATTAAAATGTTAACTAAGCAAACTATTGTACTAATTATCCTAATTGTTCCTGGTTAGGAAGCATTTAAATAATGTCCAATGTTGTACAAAACATTGAGTTTAGCATGGCAGGGGGAGGGAAAATCCAAATGCAGGAATTCACAGTTCCAACTTTTCAATGAACTTAGGTTAGACGAGGCCAACTTGTCCATAAATAAAACCAGAAAGTTAAAACAAGGATAAGGAGGAAACAAGTACTCTGACCTCTGGTGAACCTCAATCATATTATGAAGTTGCAATAAAATTCCATTCCAAAGTATAGTCAGCAATCAGACCCTACCAAATCTGCAAACAGGAAGCTGGTCAAGTGGGAGGTGTCACTCAGAGGGCATTTTTAAAAGAGTAAAATCATGGCAGACATCTCAGTGTTATGTGCCATTTTTCTGCCTGTCCCAGTGGGACCACTGAGTGTAGATTGACCTTTCAATCGAGGGCACTATGGCCAGGGCTCCATTAAATTCCAAGTTGATGTTCATGCCATAGTCATTCGCAGAATGTACTCCCTGAGATTTGCACCCAGCAGCCTTTCTAAAACTGTAATTCATTGACTGCTATCCAATTTTGTCTTATGAATGAGAGAAGTATGAGTGGGTTGCATATGAAAGTTCTTGGAACTATTGTTAAAGGTGATTCCATGAAGCGTCCAAGAACTGGGTACAGTTTGTGCTTACAATGCTAATTGTTCTTGCTTTGAGTGAAGTTATGAGTCATAATGAATGTGGCAACACATTTTCCTTCCTTATCAATATAGTATATTGTGGAATATAAAAATAATTCTTCTAAATACATATTTTTCTAAAACAGTTATAAGATTATATACATATGTACTTTTACAAACTGAAACCATTTATTAAATTTTTTTTCAAGTGTATTGCCCATTTTTATTTATTTATTTTTACAGTTTCAAAGCTGATTAATAGGACGGTTTTGATAATTAATACATTGTCCATTGTTATCTTTTTAGTGGTTATTCATAGTACAAGAAGCAGACAGGATTTCCTGTCCAAACACTATTAGTACACCTCTTACTTCTCATTGAATTAAGCGAAAGTAACTGCATATTTATCCTAACTATTTTGTATATATAAATACAAAATGATCTTTCCTTTGTATCCTTTTTTTTAAATTTTATTTTAAAGAGGAAAAAACACAAAACAAATAATGGGAACAAAGACTAAAACAAAAAAACAGAAAACAGAAAAAAGGGTACAGAATTTTAAAGCAAAAATAGGAAATTAATAATGACGTTATATTACATATTGTGAAACTATTATTAACAATAGTGTATTATTAATTATGATAAATCAAAAACAGATTGTTATTGCTAATACTTGACCGTAATGAAAAGCATTTATAAAACAGCTGAATGATATTTCTTTAAGGAAAATCACGAGGAAAAGTGATTGTGTCACCGCATAATGACATCTTCATCTCAGAGAGAAATGCCTTATTGAAACTGTAGTAGAAGTGATGATATCAATGACAGTGAACTAAAAACAAACCAAATATCCCAAGTACTTGGACTGGAAGGCATTTTCTTTAGAACAATGGCCCTTGATCAAGGGTGTGTGTCAGAATTATATGAAGCGGGAAGAGAGAAGGCATGTCATTGGAGCATGGTGGGTGCAAGCACCCCAGGGGATTCTGTACCCCAGCCTAGGAATCTTGTATTTTACATCTTAGCACATGAAGCCAGGGATGCCTGGCGACTCTGGGTGTGAGTTGTTGCTTCTATGAGGACATTCTATCACACAATTCTATCTCTTTCTGTCACCTTTAAACACACAACATCCCTAAAGTCTTAAAAATAGCATTAGTCTTGACATTTCTTCAAGAGGATACCTCTCCATTTGGGTCAAAATGACACTCTTTTGTTGAGGTTTTCTTTGCTTATGTACTGTATACTTATATTAAGAGAAATGACAGTGAGGTGACCATGTTTCCAAAACCAACAGATCTAAAGGTAGAACTGCATTCTAAATAAGGACTGAATCGGAAATCGTTGGTCACAGGTCTCATCACCATACTTCTGTCTCCTTGTTAGAGAAATCTGTGCACATTCCACCATGGTAGGCTTCCCACGCATTCATAATCAATATTTTCGATTATTTCATAATAACAGAGCTGAGAAATACTACTCTACCCCTCCCAAACACCTGCTCACACCCTTCCCTCAATGCCAAAACTGTTGCAGGACTGACTTAGCTGGCCTTGCTCTTGAGCCCTTGATGCTGGGCTCCCCTGAATCTTTGCCTCTGGATTCATCTGCTGTTTTTCTCCTTTTCCTTCTGCCTTTGACTTAAGGCTACAAACATAAGGCTATTCTACCCACCATTCTTTTTGTTTGTTTGTTCGTTTTTTTTGGTGGAACCGGGGATTGCACTCAGATCCTTGCGTTTGCCAGTCAAGCACTTATCCTACTGAGCCATCTCCCCAGCCCCAATAAGGCTATTCTAAACAAGCTACATTACCACAATAAATTATATTAAACAAAAATACAACATTTTCTTGAATGTAAATTTTCTAGATATTCTAGCCCTCATTTACTCAACTTCATTGTCTACTTTCTTAAAATAATGAGCTACCTTTTATTACCATGGTGTTTACTTAGGCTAAATGCATTTTGTTGCCAGCACTCTTTATAAACAACTCAAGCTCTGCAGGGTCCTTCTACTCGCCAGACTTGGGATCCTCTGTTCAGGCCTCATCAAACAGTCCTGCTCTGTTTTGTAGCTGACAATAGGTGCACAAATTTAACCCTTCACATGGGTCACTTGCAGCGCTTGTTAAAAATGCAAATTCTTTGTCCACATCTCTTGGCATGAAGATCCAGCATGGCTGGATTGGGGTCTAGGACTCTTCATGTACAGACGCAACCTGATGCTTCTGCAAAGGCGGCCTTCAGATCACCAAATAGCACTCCTTCTTGAACTCCTCGCCCTCAGGCTATGTTACACTTGCCTAGTCCTTCCTTTCTGATTATTTTCTCAGTTGGGTTCCTCCTTTTCTAACCAGCCTTTTCAAATTCATTCTCCCTTGGGTTGACATTCATTTGTTCGTAGGACTTCAACTCCATGCCAACCAGCTTAAACTGATAGTATAAAATTCCCTTTTTCACTTCTGGACCTTACAACTACATGTCCTTATGTTTCTATGTGGTCCCTGGGGACATCATACCCTAAATTAATTCCAAGAATTTGCTTGTCCTCCTGTAGCATCCAGCTTATCACCCAAATGCAAAGCACATCGTTTTCAAATTCTTCTCATGTCAACTGTGAGCTTTGTAATTTGGCCCTTGCTTCTCATCCCACTGTTTCCAGGCTCAGGCTTTTGATATAAACTGTTGGATAATTTTGTTGGCTTTCTTGAGCTGGTTCCCACGACATCTTTGTGTCAAGCTTGCTGACACTCAGAAATCAGAACTGATCTTATCATTTCTCTTCTAATAAATCTCAGCAGAGTCTCTATTAGCCTTAAAGCAGAATAAAAAACTACCTTGTCCTTAAATATCTTTATCGTTTTACTCCAGCCCCCAGCCTTCTTTCCTCCCACCGTGTTCTAGGTCTTTGGCTTCTCTTTCCCATTCTCTCTCCGTCTCTGCTTTTCTACTGTTTCCTTGCCAGAAGTCCTTTTCTGGGCTCACATCCACTGCTCAAGATGCAGCTCAAATGTTGCTGCTCCATTTCTCTTCCATCATGGCATACACCGCCCCCTGACAAGGATAAAACTTCAGTTTTTGCCACATTTCCATCCTTAGCCCCATGTCTTCCAGCACCATAAATGTTTATAGACAGAATATAGAAAGAACCGAATACTCAGTGAACAAATGAGAGATGTGTTATTTCAACATGACCAAATAAAATTGATCTCTCTCTAGTTATGAACCGGAGACTTGGCACATTTCTTTAGTTCAGTTTTTACCATATCCTGTTACATTTCATTACGTACATTCCAGACAGATAGTGAATTTCAGGAAAATAATTGTCTTATTTAACTTTATTGTCTCAGCACCCCACACCTAACATTCCACATAATTGTTAGATATGTGACAGTCTTAAAGAAAATGGATGTCTGGTGGAGGGAGCTGTTTTGAGTCATGATGTTACACAAAGGGCTGAAAGTAGAAAATTGGGTGGTCATAGAGCTCATCTCTGTCCTCTGTTGCTTACGAGCCCAATGGGTCTTTACTTACTCTTAATGGAATCTGTATCAATCAGCTTTTCCATTGCTGGGGTAAAATCCTCAACACCCACAATTTAAGGAGGAGAGGTTGATTTTGGGTCGTAGGTTCAGAGGTTTCAGTCTGTGGTTAGCTGGTTCCAAGGCAGGAATATCATGGAGGAAGGGTGTGGTGGAGCAGGGCTCCTCACTCCGTGGGAGCTGTGCACTCCGGGGAAGGAGTGCAAGGAGATGGGCCTTGACTCTCCCAGACACTCCAAGAGGTGTGCTTTGCTGATCTCTGAAGTGTCTTTTAACCAATCAAATTGATAGTCAAGATGATCCATCACATGATTTTTCATTAGCCAAATTCAAGTTGCCTGGACAAGCGTAATATATCACTGTCACTTATCTCCTTTCTAGAAAACTTTTTTTTTTTGATTGTTGTTGATTGAGCTCAGGAATTCACCAATGCCAGGCAAAGGCTTCACCCTGAACCTCACCCCCATAGCTTGATAGTTCATTTGAAATGTGTTTTCTTCTGTAATTGATTTTCAACTCAAAAAGTACTAAAAGACAACCTACCAGTGCCAAAATTATATTTGGTCAATATCAGAACTATGGGTGCATAGTCTTTGATAATAGTCTGTTGGATTTTTTTCTGTTGTTATTTTGTACGGGGGATTGAACTCAAGACCTTGCACTTGCCAGGGAGGCGCTTATTCCACTGAGCCATCTCCCTGGCCCCTAAATTATGGTTTTTGTGGAGATCATATTCATGACAACCGTGGCATTTCTGTCAGCATCGTGGCTGTGGTGAGCACAACAGTTGTTAAGACTTACTGAATGTACCCTGCGTTATCCCACTCATTGACATCTCACAAATGCTTTATAAAATCCCCCATTTGTCGATGAGGAAACAGACACAGAAAGGTACTGCAACCAGGAACTGGCGGAGCTGGGGTGGACTAAGGCAATTTAGCATCAGACGTAGCATCCAGTCCTGTGCACAAGGGCGACGTGCACCGGCTATTCTGACACGGGCTGTTTGGCTCCTCTCTCAGGGTCAAGAAGCTCAAGGAGACTCTCGTGGCTGTGCAGCAGCTTGATAAGAACATGAGCAGCCTAAGGACCTGGCTCGCCCACATTGAGTCAGAACTGGCCAAGCCCATCGTCTATGATTCCTGCGACTCTGAAGAAATACAGAGGAAGCTCAACGAGCAGCAGGTAAAACTGAAAACAGTGAAAGGAAGAACTCTGTTCCTAGTCTGGAAAATGGGTTGAGTTGGGTTAGGTTGGGTTGGGGACTCAAGATGGAACTCCAAGCAGAAGTGAGGTCTGACTGGAGGAGACGGAGGCATTGTGTGGGGAAGTGTTGGGGGCAATCGATTCATGCCACTGCAGCTCACTCTTGGAAAGACACTTATGCCTTCATAGTGCCAGTGTCATTAGTCCTCCCAGAAGCCATTCTAAGACAGAGGTAAGGCTGAGTCTCAGTGATATATATCAAAAATCATCAGATTGTTTGTTTATGGATTAGTTTTTTTTTTTTTTAAGTCTATGGTAGTGGAGCTCTTTATTCTGCATGTAGCATTTGGTATTTTACCTTTTCTTTCCTTTTTTTTTTTTTGTGTGTGTGTGTGTGTGTGTAACCGGGGATTGAACTCAGGCCTTTGCATTTACCAGGCAAGCACTTATTCTACTGAGCCATATCCCCAGTCCCAGCATTTAGTATTTTTAAAATTTAAAAAATTTGTTCTAAAAGAAGAATTACATGATGTTCAGAGCACCACTGAAATTTCTTCCTTCTGTATACAGCAGTGACGGTACATGTCATGTACAGTCCATCAGACACAATGTGCAACCAAACGGAGCAAAGAAAGATGACTAAAAAGACATACAGATGATTAAGCATATCAGACTCTAATTGCCAGGACTGCACACCATAAACTCCTCATAAGAAGTCTTTTTACTCCACGTCTTCAGGTTGTCTTGGAAAATTCTAACCAGACTGTGGCTTCTTTCATTATATTTAGGCCATTGCAGCTACATTGCTTAATTTAGAAACACTATAACTTGTAAAAATCACCTATTTTTAAAATTCTACAAAATATTTAGTGCAGGGGGCCTGGGAGATGGCTCAGTGGAATAAGCGCTTCTCTGGCAAGCACAAGCGCGTGATTTCAATCCCCGGTTCCGCAAAAAAAAAAAAAGAAGAAGAGAAAAGAAACTATTCTGGAAAAAAGGTTTATTTGGGGCCAGGGAGATGGCTCAGTAGGATAAGTGCTTGACTGGCAAACGCAAGGATCTGAGTTCAATCCCCGGTTCCACCAAAAAAAATAAATAAAAAAAAATAAAAATGCACTAAAATTTTAAAGATAATTTAAGTTGATGAGAATAGGTGTGAAAATACAGTTGTAGATGTTGAATTTAAATATTAAAATTGGCATTGAACTGAATTTTTTTTAAGATTGAAATTCTTTGAAAGATACGTCTGTTTGAGATTTTGGCAGTCGCACTGTGAGGCTCCCCAAATTCTCCTGGGGAGCATAACAATGATGGCGACCATGTATATCAGCGATAAGACTTACACTGCTAGTGGCCCATATTGTACTTCAACAAATGTACACAAATCAATACAGTAGCTACTTAAATATGGCAAATTGATCCAGTGCTACTGCAGAATCCACCTACTACAGAATCTCCAATGAAATCATAGTAAAGAAGGGACAAAAAGCCAAAACCCACGATGGCAAAGAAAAGAGAACAAAAACACGTTAGAGCTGAGTGACATCCGCTTGAACTTTGCACAATAGACAGTGGCCAGAGGAATACAGAGGGCTTTAGCGAAATGGAGAATGGAGAAAGTTAGTTCCTGTAGAAAGTTCTAAGGCTCAGAAAAGTGAGATGAGGCAAAAGTGAATCACGTTGTTGCTTCAGAGGTAGAGTCAGGAGTGGATAGACTGGCAGATCCTCCATGGCCCACAAGGCCAGGTGGCTCTGCGACGCTCACTCTGGCAGCAGACCAGAGAAACACTGTCTGGAGAAGGCGAAGCAGGATGATTTTGTGTTTGGAGATCACACACCCTTAGGGCTGGAGTCAGTATATTAAAGATGGGGAGATGAGGGGAACGGCTCTGGGCCAAAGTCTGCCTGCCAGCTCACTCCTTCAGCCTGTCTCCCATAAAGTCAGTAGCTTAGTGCACAACCTGAAGTGGGTGTGGTCTCTGTGGAGAAACAGACTGGATGAGGTAAATACCCTCAGGTGGCCATCCTTAAGGGAACCAACCCAGCAAGGACTCCCACTCAGCTTTTCTCCGGAATGCCTCCTGGGTCACACGCATTAGTACACAGCATTCAGTGACTGACTCAGTCCTAAGGCTTTCCCCTCTCCCTGCATTGCCAGGACCTGAACACAAGGCCTTGTGCATGCTAGGCAAGCAGTCTAGCCTTGAATTACTCCCCAGCTCTGCCTTGTTCTCAGCTATGTGAGTAGGCAGGAACCTCCACTACTTAAGAATTCTTTCGCCATGAGAGAATAAATAAAAATAAATGGGGGGAGGTAAATAAAAGGAAACACTATAGAAAGAGAAAAATAGTTATTAAAAAGCAGATTTTTTGGTTTAAGAAAAGGGATGCAATTTAAAAAAAAAAAAAAAAAACTTTCACAGTTGGAAATTTTCCACAAAGTGAAACAAAAAAGCAAATAAATGAAAACTAGGACAGAATTAGAATACTATTAAAAGATGAATACAGGCATTTCAAAATGCAGGTCAGTTATTCAACGTAATCCCCAAAAAGAATTTTAAAGATAGAAACAAAGCTATCAAGTAGTAGTATTTAAAAAAATCCCAAATTAAAAATGAATCCCTTAACGTACTGGAGTCAATATGTTAAAGATGGGGAGGTGAGCAGATCTCAAGTGCCCAGGAAAAGTTCAAACCAAACAAAACCACTCCAGGGACGCCACATTATAATTTTGCCAAAATGAGAGAGATAATGAGATAATGTCTAAGGTTTCCAGGGCACAAAAGGCCTCATTTCTCCAAAACAAAAATAAAGTCTAGAAGATGGCAGAATACTTTCTTTGGAAAGAATGAAAACTTTCTTAATTTTTAGGATTTTTGTATTATATAACTTAACATAGAAAAAGTTTACCTCCTCTACACCCATTTTTCTAACAGCTAACATGGTAGGAAGAATAATATTCAATTCAGGAGAAAGGAAATTGGCATGTTATTCAACCATAACGATGAATGAAATCCTGTTGTTTGCAGTAAGCCAGTGGGAGTAGAAAACATTACGTTAAGTGAAATAAGTCCGAAACAGAAAAAATACTGCACGTTCTCTGTTTTATTTGGAAATTGGGGGAGAAAAGTGGATTTGAATATAGATTAGTGATTTGCAGAGGCTGAGATGGGAGGAGGATATGGAAAGGGGGGTAGAATTCGATCAGTGCACACCATAGGCATGTGCTGAAGTACCATACTGAGCCCCAGCAGTATGTACAGAATTCATGTGTGGTAATCGAAACTAGAATTTTAGAAAGGGAACTGCCCAGATGAATGGGAAGCGGGGCTCCTGGTGACGGTCACCGTGCAGCCATCGAGCGCAGGCCAGGTTGGAGCAGGGGCAGGTCCCCGAGGAGGGAGGCTTCTGGGGCGCTCGACCACCCAAGAGCCTTAATTGTGCCGGAAGAGACTTAGTTCTATAGAAGAAAGACAAGAAGCAATAACATAAATTTGAGAGACAGAAAGGGGGGGAGAGAGAGAAGAGAGAGATTAATTACAAAAAAATTGAAGTCTTTTGTAAGAAAAGAAATACAACCATAGCATGCTGAGATGTGAAAAATATTAAATAACTGGAACCACGGAATCAATGACTGTTGTTCTAACTGTAAATTATGCTGAAGCAGTCACTGGAGCCCAGTGATCCATGACAAAGTCTATTCCTTCTCTGCTAGGAAAGAGTCAACAATGTCTAAAATTTTTAAAAATGAATAACCATCTGTATAATCACCCTGCTTAGAAATGCAGACGTAAGCAGCAGAAGAAAGAGCTCCCCAAGACAGAAGGGCTGCCTCTGGCAGAGAGGAGTCATGAGTGGCAAGGGTCCTGCTTCGTGAGATGTCTTCTAGTCATGTCTTTACTTTTTAATATGTTAATACACGTGTATATATCTTTTAAATTACATTTTAAATTATTGTTCAAAAATTATATGCCAATGATTTTTTTTCCAAAATTTTATTGATAAACAGCAATGAGACAGTTTCAAATCAAATCGGATATGCCAATGATTAAAAGGAAAGACTTTCTGGGTTCAAATCCTAGGCTCGGGGGCTGGCCAGATAGCTTAGCGGACTAATGCGCCTGCTTAGGCAGGCTCAGTGACCAGTGTTCAATCCCTGGCTGGCCCTACCCCTGGGGGGCGCTGAGGTGGCAACTGGGATGGAGCATGGTGGCGCGTGCCTGTAATCCCAGTGCTTGGGAGGCTGTAAACAGGAGGATCACTACAAGTCCGATCTGTGTAGTGAGACCCTGTACTAAAAATACAAAAAAATAAATAAATAAAATAAACGAATCCTGGGCTCACCACTTCTCTGAATGAACTAAAGCAAACTAATCATTTTTTTACCTTCAAATTCCTAATTTATAGAACCTTAATAGTCTAAATGCATGCGACAATCAGTGCTTGCACAAATTAAGGAGAAAAGCCATGAGCACAGTGCCTAGCACAAAGCAAATGGGTGCTGCATTGCTTTATAATGATACTGTGTTTGCTCTAAGTTCCTTTCCAGAAAAACTTCAAAAACGTACTCTGTGAAAAGTTGTGCCGGGCCAGCCAAATAGCTCAGCAGATTAAAGAGTCTGCAAGCAGGTGCAGGGGCTGGGGGTTCGATCCCCAGGCCTGCCATGCCGGCCCTGTCCCCAGGGCACACTGAGTTGGCCATTGAGACTGGGCGTGGTAACACATGCCTGTAATCCCAGCTCTTGGGAAGCTGTAAAGAGGTGGATCGCTACTAATCTGATCTAGTAGTGAGACCCCAAACACCCTGTAGACCGTTCCCTAAAATAAAAAAAGACAAAAGGTTGTGCCACTTGGGATCTGTATTGGTCAGCTGCCCATCATTTGGGTAAACTCCCTGATACCCACACCTTAAAGAAAGGCTCACAGTCTCAGCAGTATTAGCTCCCGGTGAGCTGCCTCCAAGTCAAAAGCATCATGGCAGAAGGATGTGGTAGAGCAAACCCACTTACTGCGCAGAGGCCAGGGCACAAAGAGCAGAACAGTGCCAGAGAGGAAGGGGCCAGAGCCCACATGGAGACCTTGGCTCACGCCTCGATGCCCACCCAGACTCACCAGAAGACTGCTCTTCTCACCCCTTCGGAGCTCCCAAGTCAGTGAAATTGACAACTGAGCTTACCTGCCATGGAATCCTTGTTGTAAAAGACAGAACACTAGCTGCCTCCAAAAGGGAAAAATTCTAACAAATACATGAGTGGATGTATTAAATGGATAAGAAATGAATTTGCTTCTTCTTCCCTACCCAGAGCTTTTCTGTGTTTCTCTTCTCAGTGTATTTAATTTTTAAAGATTTAGTTGGGCAGGTAAGTTTAGGAAACATTTTGTCAACTTCTCTGTGTTATAATTAAAAAATAAATTAATAAGAGACATTATACAGTGATTCAAGGCTGTATTATTAATTGAGATTAAAGTTGAGACTAAAATCTTTATCCATGTTAAAGTACTCATATATCATTGGAAAACCTTTCAAGCCTTAGGATAGATGGATCTTAAGACAATTTAAGTGTTTGAGGAAATGGTACCAACATACTATGTGTTAAATTCATGGCTGATGTTCGGGTTCTTAACGCTTCTCTCAGATGTGTGTCCTTGTGCTTCTTCCTTGGATTTATTTTGTGATCTTGTCCATAGACTTTTCTTTTTCCTTATCTTTCATTTTTGTAACATTTTGTACTTTAAAATGAACAATTCCTTGTTAGACCCATGCTCATAAGCAAGACAAGTTTTATTAAACCTTTGAAAAGATTACTAAAATAGAAATAATTTAAGTCTTTATCTTCTAACATCTAGTTTATAAAATATCCAAAATTTGATCAAAGGTACTCTTACTATACCTGACAGTAATTCAGTCTTTTCACAGACTTGAAACATGGTGTTAAGGATAAAAATTAAAGGCAAAGCAATGCAGTACAATGTCAGAAGTTGTTGGCTTGAGCCTTTTACAGCTCAGCATTTAATATGGCTTTACTTTTTATATCTCATTTTTATACTTGTCTGTTGGACAGTTAAGACCAAGTTAAAGCAAGACCTATGTAATGAGAAATGTAACTTTTCTGTCTGACATGGTCAATCAAATCCTCTCAGGATTTACCTGAAACCTTATACTGCAGTTTGTAGATCTTTTGTCAGTGTCAGCCATGTGGATGAGTCACAGCCATTGCTTGACCAATTTGCTCTCTGTGAAATCCTGAGATAATGTTCTCTCTCCATGTGGCTCTCTTTAGGCACACTCTACATCATCAATCACTTTCCTCTGTGGCCTATAATCTCCTTGATCAGAAAATTTGGGACACCACTGAGTTATAGGATGTTACAGTACAGGTTCTCTTATGTCCTGAGTCCTCATTGACCTTGAATGGCTAGCTATGGCCAAAATGTTGGCTGTCCTTGTAGCCCTTCTTTTTCTCTAATTTTTGGTTGGCAAACTTAAGTTGTTAACCTTCCAGAAGAAAAGCTTAATGTTATTATTACCCTATAACATAGGCAGTTGAGCTTAACTTCACTATCTGTCTGAATATCAAACATCTACATGTAACATGGAACAGATATTTTCTATCAAGCATTGATATGTTAAATTTTAAATCCCTACAGAATTTGAAGAAAATTTTTTTTTCAAAAATAAAAATAAACAATTACATATTTTTACACAGAAATTTAGAGATTTAACCATATACAGTGTTGTAGCAGAACAGTCCTATGACTTTTTTTCTTATGTCTTATTTTCATTTATTGCCTTTTTTTAAACAAACATTTACTTGAGAGAGAGTATAGCAGTAATTGATATGACATTAGAAGCAGTACACTTTTAGAAGACCAGAATGACAGGGATTCTAAGCATGACCCTAGTATTACACATTGCTATCTCATGTGGATAATCCACTACTATTGTAGACTATAATTTTCAGTAGACTGAAAATTATTCAGCAAAATAATTCATGCACCTACAATGTATAAATGGCAGTGGAATACCCATCTCTGACAAAAGTAAACAAAAAAGGAGATATAAATGAAGGACCATTTTGTAGTGAATATATATAGATATAGATATATAGCTACTTTCTCTTAGTTCAATGAGAAGACAGTTTTGAACTAGTAGTGTTTAGACAATATATCATGTCTGCATCTTGTACTATGAATACTACAAAGAACAATATGCAATGTATCAATTATTGTCACTGGCCTACTAACCTGTTTTGAAACTGTCTCTTTGCTACTTTTTTCTCAATAAAATTAATAGAAAAAATCAATGCAGTACAAATTCTACCTATGTGCATAAATTGAGGAATTATTACACCAAGAGAAATAAGCTAGGCAAACTCAAGAATTGCACAGAAAAAAAAAAAAAAAAAAAAAGAAAAAGTGTTAAGGACACCGATGGATAGGACAAGCAAAAAACAAAACAAAACAAAAAAAAACAAACAACAACAAAACCCTAATAGTAGGGCTTTCTTTTAATAACAGAATGTTTACTTCAAGTAAATTCAGTTAGAATCTTATAATGTAAGCTTCTGTCACTGCAGCAAAATACAGATAATACAGCAAAATGCAGCTAATACCTTTATGCAAAGAGGAAGAGTTTGTTTTGACTCACAGCTTTAGCAGTTGTGGTTCGTGGTTATTTGATCCGTTGCTTGGGGCTTAAGGCAGCACGGTTTACAGGGCCTTTACCTCATGGTTCCTGGGACACGAGAAAGGGGAAAATGGGCAGGCCAGGGCCCTGATGACCCCAGTTTGTCAACTAGTTTCCTTCCTAGCAAAGGTTGCATCACTTCCCAATGGTGCTGCATTAAAAGGCTGTGACCAAGTCTTTTAAAAGATGAGTCTTCAGGAAACTTTCCAGGACCACTATAGAAAAGTTTAATGGAAGAAATAGTTACTATGAAGATTCCGTGCATATATGTTAGGAAAAATTCCATTTCTTTCTCTTTCAAGCTTTTTGTTTCTGTGCTACATCTACAAGTGTACTCTGAGGAAACTAATAGTTAGGAGATCCTGCCTGATATTGAACCAAATTCCCTTAAGCCATGGTGCTTTTTAGTGTTACTGGAATTCACTGTTTAGCAAAACTTGCAGATCTTTATAGATAAATGTTGAATCTTTATTAATTAATCAATTGGAATGGAAGTAATGTATCTGTAAAGGAGTTAGAGCAAGATTCTTTTTTTTTTTTTTTTTGTATTTTAGGGAAGGGTTTGCAAGGTGTTCAGGGTCTCACTACTAGATCGGACTCATAGTGATCCGCCTAGTTACAGCCTCTCAAGAGCTGGGATTATAGGCACATGCCCCACACCCAGTCTCAACTGACATCTCAGCATGTGCCAGGAGCAGGGCTGGTATGACAGGCGCAGGGATCAAACCCCTGGCCCCTGCCCTGTGCCTGCTTGTAGGTGCTTTAACCCGCTGAGCTATTTGGCTGGCCTCTCATTTTTTAATCATTAAAGAAAACAGTTTTACTCAGTGTAGTCTTTTATATTTGTTCAGTTTATAGTTTGGCACTGCATATGTAACTGAAATATTTCTAGATCCATTTTCTTGAAGTATATCTTTGAGCTTGCTGGATTTCATAAACAAGGCTCAAGAGACTTCATGCGTTGAAGAAAGTGAGACACATGTCAAGGTGTAGCCTACCTCCTTGTCAGTCAGTGATCGCTGCTGCAGTTTCTCCCACTTGTATACATGAACTTTCTGAAAGAAATGCACACTGTTTCCTCAGGAGCTTCAGAGAGACATTGAGAAGCACAGCACGGGAGTCGCCTCTGTGCTCAACCTGTGTGAAGTCCTGCTGCACGACTGCGACGCTTGTGCCACCGATGCCGAGTGTGACTCCATCCAGCAGGCAACGCGAAACCTGGACCGGCGGTGGAGAAACATCTGTGCAATGTCCATGGAAAGGAGACTCAAGTGAGCTGGAATGTTCTGTTAGGGAAAAGGAAAGACCGAAAGGGAAAAATAAATACCTAAGCATCCTTTGTTCAGTGTTTCCCTTGGGCCATAGTGTCCAAAAATAGCCTCAGCTTCCCAAACATGCCTTCATCTTCATGTAGTTAGAAAACTAAGTTTCCATATAATGGTAACATGCAAATGAAACAAGCTAAGTGATGTCTGACCAAACAGGTTAAATAAAAAATAGAAAAAATTAAAATATGTTCTTGGGGCCAGAGAGACGGCTCAGTAGAATAAGCACTTGCCTGGTGCCTGAGTTCAATCCCTGGTTCTGCCACAAAAGTAAAATAAAATAAAATATGCTCTAGCTAAATAGGTATAACACTGCAGAAGTCATGGTTCTTAAAGTGCAGCATTCCTTTATTAAAGTTTGAATAGTTATAAAAGGCATATTATTCATCTTTTAGCCTTTTCAAATTTAATGTGGCAAAAAGTCATGATGGATAATTCTAAAATCATAATGACCTGCATCAGAAAATCATTGGACTTTCTGGTGATTCTTGAGAGCTTGATATTTGCCTTGCTTTTACTGGTTGATTTTTGTCCAGGGAGCACTGGTGTTGGACAGCAGTTTTCTTTCAGTGAGACCTCTGCCTGGGTACTTCCATCAGTATAAGGCTTTGCTAGACTTCCTTACAGATATCCGAAGCAACCCATGTTATGTGCTTAGAATATTCAGTTTGACTAACTCCAAACTCAGAACTGCAGAGCATGTTTTTTTTTTGTTTTTGTTTTTAATCTGTTTTATTTTAGCTCCAACAGTTGTCTCTCTCTCTGGTCAACTTGGCTCAAGGCCCAGTTATTGTTTGGCACTGCAGTTGCTTATTTGGGCACTCTTAATCCCATCCCTGGCCTCCGACTGGCTCTGGAATACAAGCAGCCTTTAATAATGTGAGTCTGTTCTTTCCTTTCCTGCCACAGAATTGAAGAGACATGGCGACTGTGGCAGAAGTTTCTGGATGACTATTCTCGTTTTGAAGACTGGCTAAAGGTTTCAGAAAGGACAGCTGCTTTTCCCAGCTCTTCTGGGGTGCTCTATACAGTTGCCAAGGAAGAACTAAAGAAATTTGAGGTGATTTGTAATTTCAACTATTTACTGCTTGCTTTGCTATTAAAGTAGCGAGCTGGCGGCTGGGGTTCCAAGCCATGAACTAACTGTCCGTGTGTACGTTATTTGCTCAAATGGCTGGAGGATGACTGTACCCACTGCTACCGATTCCTCACGAGCAGGCCAAAAGGCATAAGGCAAAGCTTTATTTTAACTTCAGATTACCAAGAATTGCAAACACAGTAATAATAAAGAGAAACTCTGTTAGAAAACAAGAGTTATGGGTCTCCTCCAAAAGTTCTAGGCTTTATTATTCATTTCACAATTCTTCAAACTCAAACCTCTTTTCTAAGATTAAAATATGATTGCATTATTTATTGGTTTACTTATTTTGTTGTCTATTTCTTTCTTTGTTTTACTATTTTCTTTTTTTGGTACCAGGAATCAAATTCAGGGCCTAGCACTTGCTCGTCACTGAATCACTGAGCTACATCTCTGGCCCAATACGATGGTTTTAAAATTTTTCTTATTTTTTTTATATATTTATTACAGGGCCTCCAGGGCCTCACTATACAGATCTGACTTGTTTCCAGCCTCCCCAGAACTGGGATTACATGCGCACGCCACCATGCCCAGACTCAGTGGCTGGCTCAGCACACCCGAGGGTGGGGCTGGCACAGCATATGGTGCTAGGGATCAAACCCCAGTCCCTGCGCTTGCTTAACAGGTGCTTTAGTCCTCTGAGCTATCTGGCTGGCCCTAATATGATGGTTTTAAATACTATACAAATCTGTTCCCATTTAGTCTCTGATTTTTAAAATTTAAATGAACTGTATATGAAGAACTTTAATTATTCATAAGAATTGGCTCCAGAATTGAATAAAATATTTCTATTGTAATCGTTTATAATTACCCAACAAGGATCAGGACCCTTCTTGAGATACCCAGACTGTTCAGCTACACTGAGACAAATAGCAGTGGTCTAATTCTAGTCATAAAGGAAGGATTTATTCAATAATTGATTCTAGTACCTTCCCCATTTGTACAATCTTATGTCCACTTTAGCCCTGGCTACCAGAAAATTGACTTCTCAACTGCTTCTGATGTTCTGAATCCCTTGGCAAAGCCTCATGGAGATTTGAAATTTCTTTTCCCTTCAGCTCCCTCTGAGAAGACTATGGGTCCAGGTGTGCTCATCTCTACTGATAACAAATAGTTTGGGTGCATTCTGATCACTTTCTTGATCTGCCTGTCCCTTTGTGAATTTTGTCCCAGTCTCCTCAGGGTATTAGAAACAAAACAAAAGGAAACAAAACAAAGCAAAACGAGAGCCAAATTCGGTTGGACTGGTCAGAGTGTTTTACTCTTAACATTAGTTAGCTAGGCATTTTCTGAGACTTGTTTGGGGAAGTTTGAAGCTTGCTTTTGTGTTCTGATGCGGTTTAAAGTCTAAGAGTCACAGAAGGACAGCTCTGTGAAGATTCTAGAAGTAAACAACAGTAGATTCAGGTCACCCCAGTGCGGATCTATGAAAGTGGAAGTGCCGCTGTCCATGTTTTACGGCATTCAGCTTCATAAAGGTCAGAACCTTTTATAATTGGCTTATCCTACAAAGCAGATTATATGAGATCCTTTGTGATGCTATTTTGGACTCATCTTTTATAGCAGAATTTACGGATATGGTCAGCTTCTTTAATGATCATTTTTATCATCTGTCATTAACTATGTAGTTAGTTTTCTTAGAAGACAAATGTAATCACAGGATAAAAATTCTGTTTAAGGACACTGCTACCCATTCCAATTGCATGGAAATTTGGGAAAGAGCTGAATCTGCTTGGCTGCCTGCTCTGGAAGCCATGCCATCACCCCAGTGGCCTTCACCCCAGTGACCAAACATAGAGTCTTTCACGGGGAAAACAAAGCTCTATAGGACTGAAGATTGGATTTACTGTGATGAAAGCTCCTAAAACTACTCTCAAAGGAGAACCACCTAGGAGGCAAGAGTCTGATAGATGGCACGTAAACTGTACATAAAACCAAGGGAAACCAGATTTTGCTATTTAGATGAGTACGGGCAAATTAATTATAAAATTGTTCATGTAATTCCAGGGTTAAAAATCAGTCATAAATTGGGCAAAGCACCTCAGGAGATATACAGTTTTTCAGCCAACTTTATTATGCTAAGGCTGTTCCACTTTGCAAGGCAAAAGCAGAAAGAGTAATTTTATTGTGAAATCTCTAAACTTTGTGCAAAGTGGCCTCAAAAGTAAATACCACCATGGCGGAAGGCGGTGCACTAGCTCTAAGAGCTTTAGAAAAGCTGTGAATAATTCATGAGGATAAGGGAAAAGAAATGGGACATGTTCCTTCTCCAAAAAAAATTTTAATGGAAAGTTACCTGTGCTTCACTAAACTTCTTTTCTTAAGAGTTAACAACAGCTTCCTCTTAGAGAACTTTCTGAAGAAAGGTGATTTTAATTTTATTCCTACAAAAACATCATATTTGGGATGATTTCTGGGAAATTAGGAAAACTAAATATTTTATAAATGAGTTTTCTCATAGGTTATTTTTTTCACAATATTTTCACCAAAAATAATTGACACTTCAGACTCACATTTATACTTTTGTGATACTTTACTGAGGTAAAATTTGTTTTCAAGTGGTTATTTTAAAAGCTGTACATTATGACCATATATGTATACATCAACACATGGATGTACATATATACCTTTATTGAGACTTATTTGTACATTGATTTGCTATTACTCCTTGTGCTTTTCCTATTCATGATTGATCTACCACTTTCCTTAAGCTATTAGTTAAATCAATTTGCTTTTCTAAGCAAGGCATGCTGTCAACACACTGTCTTTTTCCTGGACCTGTGGAGATGTCACTTGCATTTTCACTTAATGTGAAAACCTGGAGCCACATCTAAGAGTCCTTCACTGATGCCCCATGCTGACTCACCCCTCTGTGTCCCTAGGCCTTCCAGAGACAAGTGCACGAGACTCTGACCCAGCTGGAGCTGATCAACAAACAGTACCGCCGGCTGGCCCGAGAGAACCGCACTGACTCCGCATGCAGCCTCAAACAAATGGTTCATGAAGGCAACCAGCGATGGGACAACCTGCAAAAGCGTGTCACCTCCATCTTGCGCAGGCTCAAGGTTTGGATTATGCTTCCTCATAACCTAGAGACCAGAGGACAGGAAGGGGCTGTGGGAGAGCACGTAATGGTGTGAGGTTGGGATGAGAGGAGAGATAGGCTGGGGTTGGGGGGCTTGAGGTGGCTGTGGAGAGAAGGACTGTGGCATGGGCTGTGTGGGCTCAGTATATTCTTATGGAGTTTTTAATTTTATTTCATCTTCCTCTTACACCCAGCACTTTATTAGTCAGAGAGAGGAATTTGAGACGGCACGGGACAGCATTCTGGTCTGGCTCACAGAGATGGATCTGCAGCTTACTAATATTGAACATTTTTCAGAGTGCGATGTTCACGCTAAAATAAAACAACTCAAGGTAATGGATTTTTTTTTTCATATCACCAATATAGAGAAGGAACATCAACATAAAGAAAGTCTAGGAGCCAGGGAGATGGTTCAGTGGAATAAGCACTTCCCTGGCAAGCACAGGGGCCTGGGTTGAATCCCCAGTTCCGCCAAAAAAAAAGAAAGTCTAAAATGTTTTTCTTTCCAAGAAAAGAAGATAAAAATCAGGAAATATAAGAGACATTAATAAAGAACCCTAGCTAGAGACAAACACCATAATGTATATACTTTTAAATAATAACGCATTTGCCAGGGTTTTAGGAATTTCTTTTATTACTGTTTCTCCTAATTTCTTCCTAAAACCTAGATCATTTGAATTTTAAGTTCTAGAACAAAACAACCTTTTTATGTTGATATTTTATTCTACATCTACATCTCCACAGTAGATGTAGATACCTATCTCAATAAATACCAAGTTAATTTTAACACCTTTTATGTTTTTCACCAAATAAATCACCATGGCTAGCTATAAATATGAATATACAGAAGGAAACCTTAAATAGGATGGTTTAATAAGTTGAAAACAGGGCCGGCCAGATAGCTCAGTGGATTAACGCATCTGCTTAGGCAGAGCATAGTGACCTGGGTTCAATCCCCAGCATGCTGTGCTGGCCCTGTCCCCAGGGCGCACTGAGACAGTGACTGAGATTGGGCATGGTGGTACCCACCTGCAGTCCCAGCTCTTGGGAGGCTGAAAACAGGAGAATCACTATGAGTCTGATCTACATAGTGAGACCCTATAGACCCTGTACTAAATACATTTAAAAAAATAGTTGAAAACATCTGCAAGGTGGCTTATGAAATTTTCTTGCCAGTACAGATGGGTGGAGTTCTTGGTTTGGATTCTGTTTTTTTAGTACTGGATGTTGAACCCAGAACATTACCCACACTCTACCACTAAATTACACTCCCTCTGTTCTAATAGATGGATTTTTTTTTTTTTTGAAGAGTATTCATTATTTTCGTAACCTCTTGGTTATCATAATAGAAGTAAGAAAGTTACTCTTAATTTATCTATTAATATGAGAGAAATCATTAAATGATAACCCTGTGATTCTACCCAATGATTTTTCTTCTTCTCTCCCTCTTCCCACGCACAACCCCTCCAAGCCAGTTCTTCAGTCAAAAATTTCTACCAAGTTATAATTGAATGTTTTTTCCTATGGAACTCTGGCAGGGTCTTGGATCTCATTACTACCCTTCATTTTTCCATGGCAGTCTTTTTCAACATTGGATAATTTTCAACTCTTCCAGAGTTTATGCTCGCATTGAATTACATTTAAAACTTGTCCCTCTTTCAAACTATATAGAATGATTCTCAGTGATCCCAGATTTCCTTGGTTTGACACAATTATCACTGTATGCTTTACTGCCTATGCCCCAAAACAATCATCTGAGATGAATCTGAGGCTTCACCATTTGAATGGTTTCCCCAAGTTGGGTTTGACATAGAATTTATACCACGATCAATCACCACATTTAGGTTATAACCCTGTCTTTATCAGGAATCACCAGTGCTACTAGCCTGATAACATGTTGAAATAATTTTTTATCAGCAGTAAATCTTATTACCTTAGACTCCTTTCTGTTAACAGAATTCTAATGTTTCTATTTTTGACTCCTGTTTTTGTTTTCAAGTATATATTTTGCCTTAGCAAGTAACAGCCCTTGTCCTTGTTTTAGGTAGACCAATATCCCCTACCTTGGTGGTGGCCAATGTGTGGCACATGTGCCCCCGCAGGCCCCCAGAGCCCTCTTTTTTGGCACACAGCCAAATATCAGATAACAGCTGTCTTTTTCTAACTACAACCTCAGCTTTTAGATTTAATTGCAGTGCTTGCACTTTGTGATAATTAAATGTGTTTTGAGTTGCAGTTTCAGCACTCATTCTCAAAAAGATTCACCATCACTGCCCTATATGGTTTTTCTAACATGAGACATGTAAATTACTAGAGTTTATAAGTATTTTATGTCAAGGAGAACAATGCAAATGTGTTCCCTAGGCCTTCCAGCAAGAAATCTCACTGAACCACAATAAGATCGAGCAGATTATCACCCAGGGGGAGCAGCTGATAGAGAAGAGTGAGCCTCTGGATGCAGCCATCATCGAGGAGGAGCTGGATGAACTCCGCCGCTACTGCCAGGAGGTCTTCGGGCGCGTGGAAAGATATCATAAGAAACTGATCCGCCTGCCTGTGTGTAACATTACGACTTCTTAGCATCATGAAATCTAGAGAGAACTAGTTATAGGGAAGTAGCTATCAGAGCAACACGGGGTAACATGAGTCCAGACCCCGGAGCCAGACACCTGTGTCCAAGCCTAGCTTTGACACACATTGGCTGTGGCATACTGGGAAATGTCTCACCTTTCTAACTCACTTTTCTCAACTATAAACAACCTTAATCACAGTAGTAACTGTCTCATGGATAGGACTGGATGGCCTGCTTATCTTGGTTTATCAGTATGTGTTTATGACACATGATAAGTACATTCCATTTGGGGACGTGTACCTAGACCTATCTCAGCAGCCCTTCCTAATGTCCCCTCTACTCCCCTTTCTCCTTTCTGGCTCATCTCTGGGTCCCCTATCCATCTCCACAAAGCTTGGCTGCCTGTTTCCTATAACCTTTTATTTTGCTCTTTCTTTATATTTTGAGTTTCTCACAGAAGAGAAACCATGGGATATTTAACCTCAAGGCCATAATACTGAGTGAAATAAATCAGACACAAAAGGTTAAATATCAGAAAGATTGGGTCATCAGATGAATTAGGATACATAAAAACTTGCGAAGAGTACTTGTCATATATATCTTCTGTGGAAGATACAGAAGCTTCTAGAAGAAATAGGGAAATGGAGTGAGAGATATAAGCAGTTACTCATCTGATGAGGTAATATTAGTTGAATTCCTTTTTCCATTTTGCTACCATAATTGCATCTCATCTGTATATACATTATTAGACTATTTGGAATCTTCTATGATTAAATGTATTTTATATTCCATGTTTTAAAGGAGACAGGCTAGTATTTTTCTAGTAATTTCTTTTTGTTCCTCATATATGCCCCTGTATGCATGTTGTGTTGCAGGCATAGTATTAGGTTGCCTTTACATGTTTATTTAATTCTATCAATTTTTTGAAGGAGATCTTAATAGTATTCCCATTTTAATAGTGATAAAATCAAGACTTATGTAGATTAATTTATAGGACATTTCTAAAGTGATCAGAGCTTCTGATGTATTTGTTGGTAAGAAATCTAAATTTATTGCCATGTTGTAGACAGGTGGTAGATGACCTTGTTGATGGTAGATCAGCTCAAGTGATCTGCTGAGGTAGCACCTGAGGTAGCTCCCTACTGAGGGAGCCTGAGCCCTGCAGTAACGGAGTTGGCCTGACTTCCCTTCTAGCTACCGGATGATGAGCACGACCTCTCTGACCGGGAGCTGGAGCTTGATGACTCTGCGGCCCTCTCAGACCTGCACTGGCAGGACCCATCAGTGGACGGTGTGCTCTCCCCCCAGCCTTCCTCCAACCCCTCCCTCTCACTCCCCCAGCCCCTGCGCAGTGAGCGGTCAGGACGGGACACCCCGGCAAGTGTGGACTCCATCCCTCTGGAGTGGGATCATGACTATGACCTCAGTCGTGACCTGGAGTCCGCAGTGTCCAGAACTTTGCAGTCAGAGGATGAAGAGGGCCAGGAAGAGAAGGATTTCTACCTCAGGGGAGCTGTTGGCTTATCAGGTAGGGAAGAGTCTTTCCTGTATACTAGCTTACAGGAAAACAATCAGGAGTTGCTACCATGCTTGAAACATGTTAGCTAAGCAGATTCACCTTCTGTGACATGCTTGATGCAAACATAACAATGAACAAATGGTGACATGGAAACATAATCATGGGGCAGCTCACCAGGACTGGGAGGAGGCTGCAGGGGAGAAACTTCTGAGCTAAGATGAGAGGCATGAGTAGTGGCTGCTCAGGTGGGTGAGGCAGTGTTCAGGAGAAGAGAAGAGAGTTCCATCCATCTCTGTGATTGGCCTCAGTGCTTTCGGTCAGCTGAATTTTGGCCAGAATGACAAGATCATAGGTTGGGTGGCATGGAGTGGACAAGGAAAGATTAGAGAGTCAAGGGAGGATGGTCACAACGTGGCCTGTTCACTCCAAAGGGAATTTGGCTCTTGTTCTAAAGGGAACCACAACATGGTCTAAGGAGGGAAGTGATGTGATTAGGTGCACAGTTTGATATAGTCTCAGTATAGACACTGCAGAAGAGCATACAGTGCAGAAGAGAGTGCAGATAGAAATGGTTTATAATCCAGGACAGAAAAATAGGATGGTGGCCTAGACTCAAGCAGCAGCACCAGACCAAGAGAACAAAGAAATGGCAAGAAATCATGAGAAGAAGACGCCTCTAGAATGAATGACTTAATTGAGGTTGAGACACATCTTGGTTCAATGTTCCTAGGCCCTGGCAGCCACAAGAGGGAGGTGAGACAGCAAGCTACAGGCCATGCTGAGTGCTTCTGAGATTCTTACAGAATTTTCAAGCACACTATCCAGGAGTAGATATGTGGTTCTGAAGTCAGGACCTAGAAATAGATTAGGTAGTTGTCCGTATGTGAATGGTAATTGTCCCTGACTGAAAGGAGGGAGTCACATGGGAAAAGTGTCTAAGGGGAACAAGGAGGACAGAGCTCCAAGCAGCAAATATTCTAAAGGGTTGGACAAGGAAAGGGGGTCACTATGTAGAAGGCAAGCAAGCATGGAATGAATGATTGGAGGCTGGTGCTTGGCCCGTGTAAATGCACCGCATACTTTCCCTGAAAGGCCATCTGCAGCTCATTCTGTTTATTTCTGATAGTTCAAATCTGGGTGCTCAAGCGTATGACATTATTGTAAAACTAAAATGACTTCTTGTGTTTCTGTTTTATTGACCTAAGAGTTAGGCATGTGGCATCATAGCAAGTGCTGCCTGGTATGTAAGCGCCAGCCACATGTGGCAGTTAAGCATTAAACTGACTGCAAGTTGTGGTGGGCTGGCTCAAAGAGGAAGAATAAGACATGTGCCCTGATTTCAAGGGGTGTGAAATATTAATATTAATGTTGATACCTTGTTAAATTTGGATATATTGGTTTACTAAAATTTAGCATTAAGATTGATTTCATCTGCTTATCCCTCTTCCAATATGGCTAGTAAATGTTTAAAATCACATGTGTTGTTCATAGAAGTACAGGGGCAGTGCTACCCTAGAATCTAGGATGAAGTCCCTTTTCTATGACTCACTAGCTCTTCAAGCTTGGATAAGTGACTTCATTTCCCTGGATGTCAGTTTCTTTATCTATAAAATGGGACTAAAGTATACTGCCTGTGAGGCTGAATGAGGGCTCACAACACTCTCGGTGGATATGAATTCATAGAAGGAGCCAGTTCCAGAATGCTCTGGTGAGCATGCACACACTCTTCTGTGTGTCATGAGCTAGCTGTCTAAAATCACTAACCTCATTTTTCTCCCTAGGAAAGTTATTTTTCCTGCCACAAGAGAATCAAGGTTTCCAGCATTTAGCTGTCAACTTAGACTGTGTTCTTTTTGCAGACATAGTGATCCCTGAAAGCGCTGAGGCCTATGTAAAACTCACAGAAAATGCCATCAGAAATACCTCTGGTAGGCATGGAAAGCCAGCGAGCTCAGCCCTCCCTGTAACAAGCCTCTTCTCTCAGCACAGCTGTTGTATCGCTCACAGCTTCGGGGCTCACGCATGCTAAGGCATAAACCTTCCTCTCTTCCTGCTGTACTAGATAAAAAAGCAGCTGGTTGGTCCACATCCAGAATAAGACTTAAATCATCAAACAAAATGAAGTAACTCCACTTGTCAAGTGGTGATCAGCCTTCTTAAGTACAGAACTGTGGCTCCTGCTAACAGCAGACAGGAAAGGCCAGTGTGCTCTGGCCGTGGGAGGGTCAGTGCCCTGTGATAGCCACCAGCCTGAGGCTGGGTGACCTGCAGATACTCTACACAACATCTGCCTCATCTCAGAGGTCATAAGTAAGACAAAGGGGAAGACTAGATCTAAAACATAGCATATATCTTTTTTGTTGAAGCACTAGGAATTAAATCCAGGGCCTTCATAATGAACTACAGCCTGAGCCCTTTTTATATTTTTGCTTTGAAACAGGGTCTTGCTAAATTGCATTGGGGAGTGGACTTAAACTTAAGCTCCCCCTGACCCAGCCTCCCAGGTGTGAGCTGCCGTGCCTACCTAAACTGTATCCCTTTAGTTTTAAAAGTCTTATATCAGAAAATGACTGGAAATGGAAACTATGTTCTGCTTTATCTGGACCTTTGATTTCCTGTTAAGGACGGAACTATTCCTAAAACAGGAAGAATTGAAGACAGAGGGAACCAGTTTTGCTTAGTGTTGCAGGAAGCAAACTATAGTTCAGGGGCAGTGGGTTGGGCACAGTGAGGAGCAAGGCGGTCTGGTGCGGACTTGTGGAGTTACTCGATCATGTTTCTGTTTTTGAAGACAAGCAAAAGACCCACAGTGAGGTAGCATTACTGGCCGCTGATTTTCCAAGCACGTTCTAGTAGGAGCTGCCTTATGGGTGTATTTAGAAGGGCTTTTTTCTAAAGTAAATAAATACATTTAATAAAGCTTACTTACTAATATTTGTTTTGCTTTCACACAGGGCTAACTCCATTCTAGTGATCATTGATCTTGTTCAGTTCTAAGACTATAATACACAAATGTGTGTGCGCACACGTGTGTGCATGTGCACACACACATTGTAATTGTGCAGCCCAAAGAGTAGAATGAGCTAAGATCTAGGCAATGAGAAAGAGCCTACCTGGGTAGAGTGCTGAGATCTTAGCTTTCTACTAGTTTTTTTTTCTTCAGATTAGATAAAAGCATATCTCTCCTAGTTTGATCTCTCCAGGCACATATATTCTAAGCTAATCTTTATGTGTTAATTCAAATTCATGTCTTTAGTGAAAGACAAAGTAATCAGATCTTCAATAGCACTTTGGCTCCAAACTTACCCAAGGATAAATTAGAGTTGTATCTTCCACTGCTTGTCATATGACCGCAGAAGGAGCCTAAGAATCCCCTACCTCCTAGTCCTGGGAGAGCAGCGTATACCAGTTCAGATTTTTTCAAAAGCCTGCCATTATCTACAGCATTCAGATGACTAAGGAGGGAGCAGCTCTTCCAGGCTGCTCAGAACCAACTGCAGAGCCCTTTCCAATGCCCACTCTGCTGGGACTCCTAAGACGCATACTCACTGGCACCACCACCTCCAGGTCTAACCCTCTAGCACAATAGTACTAAACTCGCTTTTCTATTTCCCACATACTGGCCCTTTCCATGCTGCCATACTGAAACAATTTCTGAAACTTCTTGAATGTCAAGCTTGAAATACCTCAAACAGTATGGGTAGTAAAGATTCTTGTGGTTGGCACTGCAGGGCATCGCACCGCCTTGGAGTCACAGATCCAGCAACTGGACAAAGCCCTGGATGACAGCCATTTCCAGATGCAGCAAACTGAAAATGTCCTGCGCAGTAGAACTCCCACCGGGCCAGAGCTGGACTCCAGTTACAAAGGCTATGTGAGTGTCCCGAGCAGCCTCTTCCTGACCCATATCTGGATCACAGTTCTGTGAGAAAACATGGTGCATCTGCAGCATGAGGGATTTATGATGCCCCCAACAACAGTGCCCTTGAACTTGTGGGTGTAGATACACAAAACAAAGCCCTGTTGTTTAAAGTTACCATTTGAATAGAACTGCTCTGTTTCCAGGCTCTGTAGCCCATTGTAGTGATCAGCCTGTGCTTCTATGCCGAGCACTCAGGGAGATCCATTTATTTGAGAGCAACCTAACACTTTGGCTCCCAAAGGTCATTAGGCATTCCTCCAAATCCAACTCATAATTTTTGGCCAAGGTTCTCCTTGAAGCAGCAGATTTTAGCTAATAGGTTACTAAACATGGCCTTTGTAAAAGTTCTTTTCCTGGGTTTTCAATTCATTTATTGACCTTGGAAATATTCTAGAATCCTCCTGGGTTTTGTTTTGGTTTAGTTTTTTGTTGTTGTTGTTTTGTTTTGTTTATGCTACTGATGATAGAACCAGAGTCTTGCACATGCTAGGCAAGTGCTGTGACACTGACAGCCTGCCCTGCCCTGTGCCCCTTGCTGTGCTCATTCTGAAGTAAACCAATGTCAATCTGAAGGGAACAAGAGGGGTGGGGGACAGCAAAGAATGGTGTACATTACTAATTCCTATTTGAGCAGTATTAGCTGTGTGTGTGATAAAGTCTATCATAACTTTATTTGTCCTAGTCTAATTATTAACTTGGTAATTTTTTATTCAGAGAAGTACCTGTATCTGTTTCCTACATATAGTTAAGCAAGGGAATTTTAAAATAAATCTCTTCCCTGTCCAATATTTTCTGTTATATCCAAATGAATTCTTAGTAGAAAGAAAGAAACATTAATTTACCATGGTCTAATCACAATTTAAATGTACTGACTTTTTTGGTCAGGAAAGAGAGCTGTTCTAGCAGTATATGTAAACATTAATATTGTTGTGATTACCTGTAGAGGTTATAGTAAAACCGCTTTTTAAAATTCTGCTATAATTTTCATGTAATTTGATGATGACCCTGCTTGAACCATTGAGATTATGCTTAGCCTCAGTCAAAAGTCATCATAGTAACTCAGTACCACTGGGATCCACTGAAGAGTTCGAGAGGTAATGGAATGCATAGTCTATACAGCTGAAATGCCTTAAAATGACTTATTCTTTTATTTTTGAATTCCACAAATATTAGAAATGGATTTGCAAGTTTTTCCCCTGACTGTATGTAGAATTTAGTTTCTTGATACCTATTATCCATGGCCTAAATTTCCTCCTAAAGCAACTGGCCTTAGCATTGCTTCTTGCTTTTAAGTATTTCAATTATTCAATGCAGAAATGTTCCCAGGAGATTTGTGGTAATATTAATGTTTCCACATTTCAATTTAAGGAAGAGAAAGAGGGAGAAACTTGCCAAAAGCTGATATTGCCTTGCAGCTGAAGGCTCTGAGCTATCTATCCCAGAATGGTTCAATCTGTTTGGATTTGTGAATTTACAGGCAATCCTGAGGGCGTCCCACGCCAACCCTCTGTGGACCTACAACTTTAAGGCTTTGTTTCTTGTGTCTATGAGAGTACATCACCCATTGACACAGCACAGCTCTGGGCTTGGCTTATTTTGAGTAGAGTGGCACAGAGGAGTGCTCCCCAGCCAGCACTCTGCTGAGCAGCTACCACACTGTCCCCCCCAGAAGCTCTTGCCCTTGTGGGAATTTTGGTGATGAGGGCTGTGTTTCATATCTAAACAGATGAAACTGCTGGGCGAGTGTAGCGGCAGCATAGATTCAGTGCGGAAACTGGAGCACAAGCTGAAGGAGGAAGAGGACAGCTTTCCTGGCTTTGTGAACTTGAACAGTACCGAGACCCAGATGGCTGGTGAGTGCCCCACACGCAGCTCAAGAGAGCCAAGTGTAAGATCCTGACGTGCTTTGCCACATCCAACATCCACTGCGCTGCTTCTCCTCCTGCTAGGGGGTTCCATCCTGCGACCCTCTTGCCACCATCTAAGGATCTCCCAAGACAGGGCAGGGAGGAGGAGCACATCACAGTGGCTTTTCCTGTGTTGCATTTATTTTGATCCTCTGGCCCTAGTGAGTTGAGTCAGCTTTTCATCTGTGTCCATTCAACATCCCTTTGTAGAAAAGAACTGAGAAGAGAATCGTTTCCTCAGGCACATGACTGCTTATTACTTTGTGAAGTTCCTCACAACTATTTTTAAACTCAATTCTCAAGAGAAAAACACAGCGTCTGCACTCATTTAACTGTCATTTACACACAACAGAAATAATGTCCAGTGGGTTACTGTCCATTCTGTATCTTTCCCCCCCATTCTTTGGGGCTGAGCCCAAAGCCTTTGTACTGAGCTATATCCCTAACCTCTTTTGTTTTCGTTTTTATTTTTTAATTCATTTTTATTTTGAGACAAGGTCTCACTTAAGCTGCCCAGGTAAGATTCAAACTTGCTCTGCTCCTGCCTCAGCCTCCCTCAGTGCTGGGATTCTGGGTGCTCACCACCACCCCAGGCTCTGTCACTCTTTTAACTCCTTACTCTCCCATGCCTGTCCCTCTAGGTGTGATTGACCGATGGGAGCTCCTGCAGGCCCAGGCCCTGAGCAAGGAGTTGAGGATGAAGCAGAACCTCCAGAAATGGCAGCAGTTCAACTCAGACCTGAAAAACATCTGGGCCTGGCTAGGGGAGACAGAGGAGGAACTGGAACAACTGCAACACCTAGAACTCAGCACCGACATCCAGACCATTGAGCTTCAGATCAAAAAGCTCAAGGTAGATGCCCAAGGCCTTTTCCCACCACACACATTCATTCAGAGAATTCCAACTTGAGGTGTTTTCCCCTCACACAGCAGCAGGGAAGGTGTCCAATAAAACTGAACAAAAATGCACCTCTTCCACCTCCATCCAAAATCCAAGCATGTCCCCATGTGGGTTAGAAGGAAAGAAAGTAGACTGTGTTGTAGAGCTCTCCACCATGTAAAGAATCACTCATAGTTGAGCAAGTTGGTGTTTTACGAAATGGTCAGTTTCTTTCATGAAAAGGCCAGACACCTCTGTGAGTCAGTCAGCCTCTTTGTAAGGTAAATATAAGTGTGAGCAGAGTGTTGCACATCTTTGTTAAAACTAGGAAGAAATCCTTTGAAATACTGTATCTGTGTGAATTCATAGGAAACCTGGTGGTATCATGATTTTCTCATATCAGCACAAGTTCCAAAGTTGATCATAGCACTGACAGAAGTAGTTTTACTGTAATAGATCAAGTAAAACAGGACCACTGGCTATTCATGAAGCACACTTGCCCTTCACCTTTGATCTTGGCCTGGCTGGATATAGTATAGCTTCCCTTCACTCCAGCCCTGGATCTTAATCCCCACCAGCTATTGGATTGCACTCCTAAATGGAAACTGGTAAGTACCCATGGACTCAGAGCTCAGTTTCTATTGATTGTGCTATAGCTCCTGGGTTTTGTTTGAAGAACATCAAAATGTGCTCAACGTGCCCCTCCTCAGGGTGTAGCTACCCCATCTGGACTCAGAACTACATGTGCTGCTCCTGTGTTTCTGAGACTTTAGTACATGCTATTTATTTTGAGATGATGTTTTTGTGGCTTGCCTTTGGAGGATTGTTTTGCTTTAACTTCTCAGAGAGAGAAATCAGGCTTTCCCACGGATATTTCCACAGTCATATCCTTTAGAAAAGTCTCTCTACCAGCCCCATGAATTGTTGGACAAAGAACTGGAAGGGAGCTACAGTTTACAGAATTTACATAATAAAATGAAGTTTTCTGAAAAGCCCCTCGACTAGCTAGACAGCCTTGCTTTATAAACAAATTTCCTGAAAAGGTGCTGATGTAAGTACATGGCACAATCTGAGGGCTCAGCAGGATGAGGACAGCGACGGAAGACCTCGGAGGGCAGCCTGCGTGGTAGGGAAGAGCCGCCCTCCTCCGCCCCGCTCTTGGCGCTTCCTGTCTGGGATCTCTGAGAACGAGCATGTGCAATGTCCAAGTCCTTTCTTCAGTGTTTCTTGACCTCCCACTGCATCTGTGGTTGAATCTGTAGCGCAGCAGTCTGAGAACTCATTGATTGGTGAACAATGAATTCAAGTTGGGAACATAAGAAAAGTAGGAAGAAATTATAAGAAAATACAGCTTAGGTAAATGTGGTTTCCACAACTGCTTACTCTGCTTTGATCCATGGATATTTAAATATTACCGCCCATCAAGGAATACATGAGTATGTGCTTGCATTTTTAAGAATAAGTCATGGACATCTTGGAAATGCACAAAACCAAAAATCAGTCTCCCACCTTGCTTGTGACTCCACTACGCCGAATACCTCATGAAATGCTCAGCTCATTCTCTTCCCCACACGAGAGTGTGGCCTGTGACTAGCCAGCGCCCTTGGCCTGTAGGTCTCTGTGCCACAGATTAAGAGCACTGGAGCTCCGGGCCTGAAATCTCCCATCTTAAATTCACCACTTCTTACTCAGGCACATGGCCTGACATACCACTGGTCTATGAATGAGCGTGATTACAGGAGAAGAAGAAAAGCAGGTATTCCATTGCTCAAAACTGTTGGAACCAGATTTGTATTGCATTGTGATTGAACAATCGTGCAAGGGGCTGAGGTAAACAGGGGCGCCGTACTTCTCATCCTGCTTCCTGCTTTATTTATTTTTACCATATTCATTCTTCCCTTCCTAGATTTTTAATTCCTTTCCCTCAAAGTCAGGCCAACTGTCCTGAAATATTTAATAGTTTTCATGTGTTCTTGAAAAATGTGGATTTATTTATGCACCTGTAGTAATGCAGTTGTGTTCCACATCATTGCATTTGAACTTTTTGATCCCACGCTGTATTTTCCAAAGATGCATCCCTGCTGTCAATGTCACCAAACCAATTTCTTCTTCTCACAGCATTGGTGTCAGGGGGTATACCTTCAATCTCTTGCCTGGTCACCCTGTATCAGGGTCAGAGGGGTACACCCACAATCTTGCGTGGCCACCCTACTAAGGCAAGTTTGAAGTAGGATTTTTCAGTTGAATGGAACACTCTCAAGGATCTTAAACTATTTTCTAAACAAATATTTTCTCATTAACATATTTGGTAAAGTGTTCCCCTTTCCCTTTTAGGAGCTCCAGAGAGCAGTGGACCACCGCAAAGCCATCATCCTCTCCATCAACCTCTGCAGCCCTGAGTTCACTCAGGCTGATAGTAAGGAGAGCCGGGACCTGCAGGATCGCTTATCCCAGATGAATGGGCGCTGGGATCGGGTGTGCTCTTTGCTGGAGGACTGGCGGGGTCTGCTACAGGATGCTCTCATGCAGTGCCAGGTCAGAGAGGCTTTGAACAGGTGGTTCCTTAGAGCCAAACGCTACCACTGTTGAAGGATACAGTTGCTTTCCCCAAAGAATATTTGAGTGAGATTCACAATGATCTCATTGTCCAGTTAAAAAAAAAAAAAAACACTCCCCACACTTGTCTCATCTCTGCTCTTCCTTCTTTGACTCATTCATTCATTCACTCTTTCTTTCAACATGCATTTATAGAGCAAATAGATATTTCTTGAACATCAAAGTAAGCACTACACATTTTTATCTATCCGTTCCTTCCACAATTACTTGCTGTTTCCACCATGCGCCAAATAGACAAAACAAAACTGAAATAGTCAAGATACCTACAGACAGGTCACCACTAGTAGTTGAGAACGCTACCTTGACAGATTGGCCAGGAAAGCTCCATGCATCTCTGAGCTGCCACGGAAGGACGTCGCCACAAGAGAGCTACAAAGAATGGGGTGTGTCAGAAACAGAAAACAAGGCAGCACCTTTAGGACAGAAAAGAAGCCAGTCAGATCAGGGTGTAGTCAGTGAGGCAGGAGGTGACGAGGCCTGGGAAGCATCTGGAGCCAGATCACACAGAGCCAGGAGTCTGAGACATTTTCTATCCTCAGTGGGATAATGAATGATTTAAAAGTGGGTACTTATGCAGCTATTTCCCACTGTATCCACTCCGACCACAATGCCTTGCCCACGGCAACCTTCAGCAACTACAAAGTGTGATTAAAAATGTGATGCATAATATTTGAGCATATTATAGTAAAGGCATACTTCCATCACTCCCTCTCCTACTCCTTACTTCCGACACATCCCATCATCCTTGGCAGTTTCTGATGTACTTCTGGGAAGTTCCTCTGTGTGAGTGTAGACAGCTGTGCTGCCATGCCCACCTCTGTCCTGAATCGATTCTGACTACTTGCAGTGATTTCTGTCAAAGAAAAACATCACAGTGTGTTTTCATTCACCTTATTTACTGAACCTGGTGCCATGAGACTTCTGGCTTTTCCCTAAAGTCAAGATGATTATGAAAGGTAAATGCTTTGAATTGATTCAGAACATCACTGCAGTCAGGACAACACGACTAAAGACACTCACCAAAGAGGACTTCCAGAAATGTGGCAGACAGTGGCAAGGACAATGGGAATAAGTACATGTGAAGTACAAGAGAATATTTTGAGGGAGATTAGTGACAATGTATCTTTTCCCATATTTTTTTTATTTACACATTTACCATGTTTGATCACCTGTCATCCGTGTTAAATGAATGAACAAGTGTGTGAATGAAGAGATGGAAGGCTGGACTCAGGCCTTAGAGGATGGGAAAATTTGGACACATAGAGAAAAGACAAAAGCAGAGTGAATTCCTTCCAGACACTCAGTGCTACCTGTCTGTTTTGAAAATTGAGCATTTTGATGCCAACTTTATGTCTACATTTCTCCCCCCAAATAATCAATAAGATGTCTGGAGTAAGAAGATAAGCTCTTGGTCAGATACCAATAGCAGCACTAGAAACTTCCTGAGAATGGAGTCACATGTCTGATCTTAATGCCAACATATATCTGCCAGTGGCAGCAACTAAAAAGAATGGAAATCTATTCTGGAAAATGCATTCTCCATGGTTACTTTACATTTTATGTGTTTTTGTAGGATTTCCATGAAATGAGCCATGGTTTACTGCTCATGCTGGAGAATATTGACAGGAGAAAAAATGAAATCATCCCTATTGATTCTCACCTTGATGCCGAGATACTCCAGGATCAGCACAAGCAGCTGAGGGTAAGAAGGTGGATGGTCCACAGCCACTGTCCGAGGGGTGCATGGATTCACTTAGGCTGCCTTGCCTCTAAGTGATGCTGGTAATTTACACCCTGACCTAAGACCTACGTCGCTAACTTAATTCTTAGTTTTTAGTCATTGTGAAATAAGTTGCACACAGCCATTGCTTAGTTGTACTAATGTTAGATGTCCTTAGTCTCAATTAGCTTGTGTTCGGTAAGGCAGCTTTTTTAAAAGGTACTTATTTTTAATTTTAAAATGTACTTATTTTTGATTTAAACTTTATATGTTATATCTGTGTCTCTAAGCATAGTGTTTGGTAGGTAATAGAGACAATTAAGTTTTTGTTAGAAGCATTAGGTATAACATCTGAAACACTAACCTTTGCAAGAAGAGGAAGTGCAGTAAGTTAGCCTATCTTCATTACTTGAAAACATCAAAACCTAACAGTTCTCAAGCAACAATAAACAAGAAACTGCCAAGCATAGTTTCACATCTGTAATCGCAGCACATTGGGAGATGGAGGCAAGAGGATCACAAGTTCAAGCCCAGCCTCAGCAACTTAGTGACTTAGGGAGTCCCTGTCTTAAAATTAAATAAATAAATAAAAATCAAAAAGAGCTGGCTACTCCAGTACCAAAAAATGAGGAAAGAACAGAAAGAAAGAAGCAATAAACTTAAGACTACATTCAAATGGAAATTTACTGCTTAGGTTTTCATACAAGGATCTTAGTTAAAAGGGGCAGGGAGATGACTCCGTAGAATAAGCGATTCCCTGGCAAGTGCGAGACCTGAGTTCAATCCCCGGTTCCACCAAAAAACAATAAAAAAATTAAAATTTAAATTTAAAAAAAAATTTAAAAAGGATCTTAGCTAATATAAAATTTAGTATATTCAATTGTTACAGATGATAAAGAAGCATATTTGAGTTCCATTAGGAGAAAGTACTTTCAATTCTGCAGCTTTCAGTATTTTTAAAATGTTATGTTTTAACATTTAAAGTCACTGACCTAAACTTGGTTAGTGAGTTGGCTTGAAATCTTGGTAAGTAAGTCAGTTAGAATTTGGCTGCTTTTAATTCAGTGCTCTAAGTGTCTTGCAAGCCAAGAGGAAATAGCGATGCAACTATATTTTTACTCAAATTTCACCCTATATCTTTATTAAAATTCTGAGTAGGTATCAGAGAACACCTGGACATACCCAAGTTTTGCTGTATTTAGACGTTTTATTTTTCTATTTAAAAGATAATCTCGTGTCTCATTTGCACCATCTTCACATTTTGAATTTTAAGTACACCTTCACATGTACTATCACTAGCGACAGTAAAGCTGAAGGTACTACGAACCGGGCATCCAACGAGAAAACTGAGATCAGAGAAGTTCGGAGGTCCTACAGAGGTTTTTTGGTTTGTGTTTGTTTTTCTTTTCTGACTGAGCCTGGGTAAGAACACACCCCCAATGCCTGCACCCTGGCTGCAGCATCTGTTGGCGTGTACACACCACATTCTGATGCTCAGCCGTAATTCCCCACTTTGGAAATGTGATCCATCAGAACTTCTTAGAAAAAAATTTTCCTCTTATGTACATAGCAAATAAGGCGTGAGCTGTTGGAGTCCCAACTCAAAGTGACCTCGCTGCAAGACATGTCTTGCCAACTCTTGGTCAATGCTGAAGGCACTGACTGTTTAGAAGCCAAAGAAAAAGTTCATGTCATTGGAAACCGGCTCAAACTTCTCTTGAAGGAGGTCAGTCGGCATATCAAGGATCTGGAGAAGTTACTGGACGTGTCGAGCAGTCAACAGGTAAGTCCTCACCAACATCACGGTGTTGCATTTCTTACACGAGTGGGAAACACCGCTTCTCCAAAGCCTTTGAATGCAGCACTTGTCAGAATAGAGTGTCCACTCCTCATCACTTTTCCTCTAACTGCTCTCTCAGAATAACAACAGCAGAACCATAAACCACTATAACAGGACACTGCTTTGGAGTCTATTAAATTCAAAAGACCTCTTGTAATTGTTGCTGCCAGCTCTATTACTATCACTGCGCTGTCATTTTATTTCACCCTGTTGCTTTAAGAACTCACACACTTTCAGTTACACAGCCACCTTGGAGTGAACAAAACATTATGGATGAGTTTCTGTATTCCAAGCATGCGAGGCATGCATTTGCCTTATGTGTACTCTATAGTAATTACTCCATAGAAAATAGTCCTTTGCTCTTTTGTTTTCCATATTTTTTCTTAACTAGATCATATTATGATTGCGTTGGTGATTTGCATACCCAGCAATGCTCACTAAGATTTCAGACATTCCATTGTGAAATCCATCAGGAACACACAGTGCTTTGTCCTCCGTGAGCATGTGATGGAGCCATTGACTCTGAGCAGCAGCAGTACCAGAAATAACACAGCTTCTCTGATTCTACAAGCTAGGCTGCTGAATGGCCATCATTTGTTTCCAACTTAGACAAATTGGTTTATCTATTACCTTGGAGACCTACAGCTGTAAGACAGCTCTCATTACCTCCCATTCTCATACCATTCGCATTCTTGTCACCAAAAAATAAGAAAGGCGTAAGAAAAAAAATCTGTAACTATTTTCCACAAGGACCAAACTCACAGCCCGGAAATCCCAACTCACTACGAGCATTAGCTGCTGTTCTCACAGCTGTCTGATTCCATTTTAGCCAATGATCTCACTCGTATGGTGGGGATGGACAGAAGCTGGGGTGGGGTGGGAAATACCTTGTGCATGTGGACCTCCCACAGCTCTGGGACACGGTGTTGGTAGAAGAATCTCTTTTCCTCGGTAGGATTTGTCTTCCTGGTCTTCTGCCGATGAGCTGGATACTTCGGGATCTGTGAGTCCTACGTCAGGAAGAAGCACCCCAAACAAACAGAAACCGGTAACTTTGCACTGGTCATTTTCAGGAAACCCATGGGCGCAAACACTAAGGAATGACAGTATTTGTGTCTACCACGGAGTCTACAGGTTCAGAACAGGTGTTCCCAGGCAGGAAAGGGCTGTCACCACTGTAGCACTCTCCCTCGGCCCCCTACCATGTGCCCTTCCAGCATGCACTCAGGAATGGACAAGAGCAATTCTGTTTGTTTGTTTGTTTTTTTTTTTAAAAAAAAACAAAACAGGGCTCAGTGTGTGGCTGGTATGTGGGAAGAAAAATTACTTGCCTTGCTCACATGGCCATGTCAAAAATGCTGCTCATGTGTCCCTTTGGTGGTTTCTTCCTTCAACTGCCACTACCACGTCCACCTAACAAAGATGGGCTACCACATCCAGAAGTGCCTGGGCAGAGGACAGACTGAACGTCCTACAAATCCACTGAATTTGATAAGACAAGAGGAGGTGCTGTTGACCCTCAAGCAGAGAGCATTCTGAGTAGTGGTCTTGAAGGTTGGGGGCCCTAAAGTGGCAACAACTCAAGCTGAGCCACCTGGACCATGAGGCTGGTGACAGGGCTGCCTGCTGGCCACACAGTGAGGATACAAAGACAAACTTGGCCCTGCTACCCTCTATACCTTGATTTCTCTGTGTAACTATAAGCTTGGTTTTTGTTTTGTTTCGTTTTGTTTTTATTTTTTAGTCTGGCTTTATGATTTTATTCATTGTTTCTCTTTAGTTTGTAGAAGTATTGATTTCATTTGTACATTTTTGTTACATATACTTATGTTCTACACTGACAAATGTATTATTCTTTTTAGGATTGTTTTTTACTGCATTCGCTAGTTTCCTATAGATCCTAGTTTAAGAATGTGAAGGAATACTGGCTTTTCTATTTAAATTTTAACATTATATGACCAGAATATGTAGTTGTTGGGCTTCTTCCTGGAAAATAACAAGCTTGATTCGATCAAAAAAATAAAATTAATATTGCTTTCGTGTTCTAAAATGTGCAAAAATAAGTGGGTAAGGTAAATTCTATAGTAACAGTAAATACACAGAGCTGCTTTGCATAGCATAGTGCTGTGAAAAGTGGGCAAACTACACCCACTGGTGCACGGGCTCCAGAATTACATTTTGATTATTTAGTTTTTAATAATGTAGATGTAATTTTATTTTACTTCTCCAGCAAAAGAAAAGCCAGTTTCTTTGATTTGTGGATACTGATCATTTCATTTGATTTGTTTTGCCTTTGCTACACTTTTAGTTTAATTTTCATCAGTAGCTTGTCTTTATTTGCCTGGACTGAACATTCTTCTTTCTTTACCCCTGTTCATTGCAAACAGCCACGAGGCAAATGTAGTGTCTTACAGCCTGGACCCTCTGTCAGCAGTCCAAATAGCAGGTACCTTGTTCTCCTGGTTTCCACACTATTCTAGAACCCCAAGAGGATGATGAAAATTGTCCATGATTTAGGTAGGCCAGCATCTGGTCTGCCTTAGGGTCATCATGAAATTACTCATTACAACCCACATTTTTTTTTTTTGTAGTCAATTGGAAAAGATGTTTCTGAATGGAAGGCATAAACAAATCTCAGAGCATAAAATGTTTGGACCACACCAAAATTTTGTTTAACCGCACGTAGCTCTTTCAGTCATTTTCACTGAAGGTCGCTGTGTGCCTGGAAGGATTTGATACAGCCGGTGGCACAACCACCATCTGATTCATGGCAGAGTTTTATCATCCTCTTTCTTTCTAGATTTTACAATGAGACAGGTAATCGATCAATGAATTACTTTACCACTCACAGAACCCACAAATCTGCATAAAATGTTACTAACACCCCCAGATTTTTATTTTATCTTCCTGTTTTATCCAGATTGTGGGTTTTGGATTCTCAGAATGCCATGTCCTAATTGGTTGTTCTTCATTTAAAATTCAGTAAGCACCGCCCCCCTCCTGCTTGCCCTGAAACTCCTTTCCAGCCTGCACACTCAGCCACTCACTCACCTTCCTCACACTGGGCAAGCTCTCTCTCTCCGGACCCAGAGCAGTCCATGCCCTGCCAGTGGCCTCCGCAGGACCTGCGCCCCGCTGCACACATCTGTGCTGCACACCTTGCCTCCAAGACCCCTCAGTTTCGCAGCTAGCAGTGCTTTGCCTTCTCTGTTGCTGGTGTGGTGTCTGTGCGCCTCTGCCCTCCCACTAACCGCTTCATGTTTCCCCCAGAAAAGTTTTATTTTCAAGTGAAAACTACTGCCCTTGAAGCTGGTTTTTCATTCCAAGCCCAAGCAGTTCACTGTGAAAATATCTGACTCTCTGGAAACTTACCACTGCTGAGCAGGGCTCTAAATTCCTGGAAGGAGGGCGGGGAGGAGGAAACGGAGAACTGTAAACAACCCTGAGTAATGGTTTTAGTTTCCCAGCTGTGTGCAAAAGGGACTGACTATTCTATTGAGTAATTCCCCCTCAGCTGAAGTAATGCAGAACATATTTTGATATGCTTTCTGATTTTAAGCCTCCATTTATTATGGGGTATTTTTTTTTTCTTTCCTTTTGCTTTGAAGATAATTTTATAAGCTTTTTCTGTCCATAACAAAATATAATTAATAAAATACTGAAGGAAAACTTCCAGGGACTCTGGAAGATAATGATGGACATCTGTGTTTGCTCTGTACTCTTCTTAACCTGTACAAGAAAAGACAGCTGAGGGCTGTGGATGTGGCTCAATGGTAGAGCTCTTGTGCAATGCCCTGGGTTCAAATCCTAGCTCACACACACACACACACACACACACACACACACACACACACACACACAAGATAACTGGCCACAATGGGCAAGTCACTGTGTTGTATAATTCCACTTTTAGCCCCCAAATTGCTGGTGTGCCCAGAGTAGAGATAAAGACTCTCTCCCTAGGATTCTATGAGGAAACCAGAGAACAAGTCTTTGGTTCATGTAAATGTTGGTAATGAGGATAAGCTGAATGCTCTTAGACAACACCAGTAGCCATGACCTCTCAGTTCCCAGAGATTACATCTATCTGCTTCCTCAATTATCTGATCTTTGAAAACCTTAAAGGCAGCCTTTACTTGAGTAGCAAATGCTTCCACGTGCATCCTAACAGGCTTTGCAGCTGGGCCAGCCACATTGTCACTGTGACTTCTGTAAGGCATCTTTCAGCTCTGCTCTGTCCAGCACTATTGACTAATATCTTTCTGAGTGTTTAGCGCAATGCTCATTTCTCTACTCCGGAGAAGACAGAATATAAGCAGTCTTTACCTGAATGGCAAACTTCATCAAACACTTTGATAAGCAGGCGTTCGAATATTCTTAGACCTCATACCTCCTTGGTACCTGGGGCTGGGTGTGCTCAACTCTAGCAATAAAATGCCAAAGCTCCTGGGGGTGGGGGGCAGAATGAACTTCAGTCAGTATCCAAGCTGTTGCCATGTCCCTTTTCATTGTGACGAGGCAGCTTGTGTTTGATCTTGCACTGGTCCAGTGACTCTGAAAGGTAACTGCAAAAGCACAGGAATTGAGAATTTTACCCTCAGACATCAGTGATGAGAACATTGTAGACACAGAATTTTTTTTCTGAGAAAGGTAAGAGGGCTGAGTTGGAAAGCATTCGGTACTGGCTCAAGGGAGAGCTTACTTACATATTTCCTGTTGTTTGAAGTCAGATATTAGTGATAAACTATCCTATTCCATATTTCAGTCTGAGTTGATGGTAGAAATTCTATGCCATTATTTAATTATAAAATTACATATAGATTGAGGACAGAAGTTAATGAACATTTATTATATTTAAGCCTGAGCCCTACTAAATTAATATAATCTACTTTCTTTTTAAAAAAAGATTTCTAATGTATCAGAGCCCAGAGACTCCTTAACTCAATTACAAGGTGCTTCCCACAACTTCCTAAAATTATAAGAAGCCGAGAAAAATCTACACAAACATGCATGATAATTCATATTATTTGTTTTTTGTGCTTAGACCTATTTTAGAAGTGTGTTTTCAAAGCAGTCCTTGCGGTTCTTTTTTTTTTTTTCCCTACATTTGACTTAGAATTGTCCAATCCTGCCATCAAGAGTTCTTAAAACTTTACTGTAAATGACTTCACATTGACAAATGGGAAGATTCAGTCCAATGTGCAACAAGACAAAGGAATAATTGCTCTGTGGTGTGGGTAGAGTGAAGGATAACTTCATTCTAAAGCTGAGCCCTGTAAAAATGCAGAATTGCCATGGGCACTGTTAGCCCTCGGCAGCTTCTCACAGAGAACTAAGATGGAGTGAGCAGGGCCGAAACATCTGGCTGAGACACTGAAGAAGGGAGCAAAGGCCTCATCTTAAAATCCATTTGAAGTAGTCAGATATATTTAAGCAGTCAACGGGTTTTTTGCATACATGCTAAAGACTCCTGTAAATGCTATTGAGTGTCTTGTGGAATTTGTTTTCAAATCTTTTGTGTCATACTCTTCCTAGGGATCTACTTATTCCAAGAATTCAGAGAGCCAGAGCACAGAGCAGTTTCCCCTGAAAGGCAAGCTGCCCACCTGCTCTGGGAGTGGCAGTGGGTGAGGCTTGCATGGGTCTGCTGTTTCGAGGAAGGCCTTCCCAGTGTTCCTGGGGAATTAAGTCAGGCAGTTTAGGAAATTTGCCACATCGTTGAAAATGCTTCTCTGTCAAAAGAAGGAACACTTCTCTGTCAAAAGAGGCTGCAACTAGCTAACCCCTGGGGATAGAAGTCAGCACACCTCTAGTATAATCATACAGCTAATAATGACAAGTCACTGACATTTATTTACTGCTTAATATGTTCCAAGTCCCATGCAAAGCACTGTGCATATGTTACCTCATTTACCCTCCTCTAATCTGGCTATAGTCCTCAGTTTATAGAAAAGTATGTTGGAAATTAAAGGCAAGATTTCTGTTGTGTCCTGCCTTGTTAACTACTTTGAGCTGTATTTGGGCAGTAGAGCTCAAATAACAGGCTGCCTGAGGCAGTGTAGTGCCAGCCAATATGTCTGATTTGGAAAAAGAGAAGACTTGAGTCCTAAATGATTCTAGAAACTTCCGAGCCATATACCCAGGGAACACTGGCCTTTCAAAGACCATGAGAGTTGGCAACAAGATCTTGGGCACCCTGAATTGTTTTTGAACCATACATTTTTGAACAGTGCTGCAACTGTACTGCCAGTGTTGACTAATAAGTAGCCAACTGATTTGCAAGTTTGGCTTTAAATGATGTATGCACAAAATTCACTTATATTCCTTGAATATGTAGCATTTCAAAGTGAGTCATGCTGTGTGTATTTCAGATTTCTCCCACGTCTTTGCCATGTGTGTTTCTTTTGCATGGTGTGTTGTTACAACTACACCATGGGTTTACAATTTGGTACAGGCACACCTGGGCAACAAATCTGGGCAATTATTTGCCTAGATATTTTAAAAAGTTAGAGGAATGAGAAAAATGAGGAAATATTTGTTTGTGTTTTTCTGGATACTTAAGATGTCTCCACTGATGACGTTCTTTGAGAAATGGCACCCATTCTGAAGTGGTGTGTACTTTGGCCAGTGGAGAATGACCAGGAGGTAGTCAACACATTGCTTTTGTTTTTTCCCTTGTTGAATTTCCCAAGACCCTTGAAACAGGTGACTTTAATTTAACAGATAAATATTAAAAGTACCATTTCACTCTGAGATCATTAACTTCCTTGAACAGAGTCACCCCGAAGAAGAGGCAAATGTGGGCATGTGGAAACTCTAGCTCTTACTCCAATGGGCGAGTGTTTATTTCAGTAGACGGACTGGACATTTTCAGGAGCAGTCAACTGCACGAATAGTCGCTGAATACCGTGTGTTCTCAGTCCCTATCTCAGCCTATTACTTCTTCCTAGATTGGCATTCTTTAGCAGTCGAAACCATGCACCAATTAAATTTTAAAACAATGCTCTGATGCTGTTAAATGTGCCATGTCCTTCCAAAGGCTCTGTAGCATGTGAATCCCTCTTCCAAAAAAAAAAAAAAAAAAACGGTGACCTTTCTAATTCTTCTCAGAAAAGAACTAGACAGTGTGCAGCTTTGGTTTTGATCGTGATCTTTGACCTAATTTCTCAGAGAGGTTAATAATTGACAAAGGGGGGTGATTTGGCCCTCTTGGATTACATTGTCATTGATATGTGTACATCTTCCCATCACCAAAGTCTTCCGATGTCTCCCAACGAGAATGAGTCAGATATTTAGTATGAGGAAGTGCGGCGCTCTCTTCTGTCGTTCTGTAATAACTCATCCAGAGCCAGGTGGGGAGTGCTGCTGACCACGGTGTATTTTCCCATCCACCGAAGGATGTACTGAGGAAAACCTCAGCCCACAGTTTGTAGGTAGCCTATCACACCCTTCTCATTTCACTGAAGCCAATCATTATATCTGAAACTGTGAGAGCAAAAATGATTGTAGGACCTCAAGGCTCCCTCCTCCTTTGCAAATAAGAAAACCGAAGTCCAAAGAGACTAATGTGGTTCCCATGGTTGTGCGATGACCCGAAAACAAGATGTCTTTGTGTCTGATACAGTGACTTGGTGATCACTGTGATGCTGCAAGGCTCTCTGGCTGGAGGCTCTTATTTTTTTTACAATTTTTAAAAAATCTTTTATTTATCAATCCCAGGTATCAGAAAAAATAATCTTTTATTTATTTCTTTCGTACAGGGTCTCACTATGAAGCTCACACTCATAGTGATTCTCTTGTCTCAGCCTCCCCGGCTCTGGGATTACAGGCATGTGCCACCACTCCCGGTTTCAGGGCCTGTGGTACCAGGGATTGAACCTGGGTCCTTGCACTTACCAAGCAGGCACTTAGACTGCCGAGCTATCTCCCCATCCCTGGAGGCATTTATTTTAGACACAAGAAAACCACTTCCAATATTTAAGGATGCACTTATTCTCTTCTTTGCTTCTACATGTAAAGTACCTATAGCGTCAGTATGACTGGCATGACATAGCATCTGTACCACCAACTAGCAGGTCATGGGAAAGTCAAGAGGACTGTGCACAGGCAGGGTGTTTGGAGGTCTCAGTTCTAAATAGAATTCTCCCTTCATTTGTGGGGTTTGAGGCAAATTATTTAGCGATCCATAAATCCCAAATTTTTGCAGCTAAATTCCCTGGACTGTGATCTTAATTCTGCCATTTGCTAGGCATAGAAACCTGAGCCAGTTCCTTGATTCTCGGAGCCTCTTTTTCATCTTATGTGACATGAAGCTAATAAGCATACAGCTCGGGGGTCTGCCGTGGGGATTAAGTGAGAGAATCCAAGACAAATGCTTAGAGTGTTGCCTAGCAATCTGAAGAATAAATGTTAACTGTCCCTAGCTACTTAGCTACAAAATTAGGAGGTGGATTAGATCTCTTTGAGGCCCCATCTCACCATGAATATTTTATAATTAGATAGCTTGAGAAGTTTCTATTTTCCCCTTCCATTAGCAAAGTACAGTATATCGCTTTTATAATTCATTATATTTCCACAAAATATGTATTCCTCATTCAGCTCATTAGGAATAACTCACTGGGCTTAGCACTGGGGCAGTTAAGCAATTTGGCCACTAGATGGTGATTGAATCTTTGTGACCCCACTTGTGAGACTATATGGACCGATTACTCTAAATCAGAAATCACATAAAATGTGAGACCAAAAAGTCAGGAGAGTATCTAGCCTAATTGATAGAGGTCAATAAAGAAGTTGGCATGTAGAATTAAAGAGAGCTGTTGAAGATTAATCAGTTGCGGACCTCAGATAAAACACTGTGGCTCTAATTTAAGGGCAGTGATTTTATTCTTGTTTTTTCTTTACGCTCCAAGAACTCTGCTAGAAACACCATGTAGTGTAGGGCTGAGAACTCTGGAGAACTAGTTGGTCATGCTTCTTGATGGTTTCAATAAAAGAGTTTAAACAGTCCCTCTGTTTCCCTTTTAAAAGGGATTATATTGTCTCAGGCAATACACTGCATCCCTCTTCCCCATTGATACTAGAGTAATCTGTCTTCAGAAATTAATAGCTAATAAGGTATTAAACTATAGAGTTTTCTCAGGAGCCAAACTGACAGATACCAGAAGAGATTTTATATGATCATATTTTTCCCATGTCCCACATTCACGGTCCTGTCCCCTAGTAACATTAAGACATTAAAACCTTTAAGAAATTCATACCAGGTGTACAGGAATGTGTTTACTTGGTATAGCTATTCTTTTTACTTATGTAATGTTATGCAGGTATATTACCACTGTGAGTAAGCTTTCTGTTTTCATCTTTTCTATTAGCATCAAAAAGAAACTGAAAAAACACTAATGGCTGCTTCCAAAAGAAATCAACAGCACCCATCACAGAACCTACTTCAATTTTCAGTATTTCTCAAGCCTCTTTCTTAGAAATATTGACATTTTTCTTTAGCCTCTAGTATGTAGTTTAAACAAAAAATGAAAGTAAGATAGGAAAACTTGGAATTTTGAGTTGAGGAAGAGCCTTCAAAATAACAATCTTTCTCTTCAGACAAGTAGTGTTAGTGTCCCCAAACCACAGATTTGGCGGCAGGACCACTAGCATCTTCATCCTCTGACATTGTTCTATAGATGGACTCCTTCACTGTTTCTTGCTCATATAGCTTCAGAACCCACTAATGTCAGGGTCAGGTGCTGGGTCAGTGCAAGATGAAGCCAGGGTAGGTTCTAAACTGGAGTAAGCTTTCATGGGTCTGTGCAAAATGACTGGTTCTGTTCTAATCCTTGCTGCATGGATTTGGGCATATCCAAGATGGCTAGATGGATGCTTGGTAGAATTCTGATAGCACATTTTGCCTAACCATGTTCCTGATAACCTTTAAAATAAACTACATTTTAACTAGCCCGGATCTACTTAATTCATGCTAGTGAACTGTGCAGAACAGTTACCTTTGTTGATGGGAAAGGTTTTACAGATTAAGTGGAGAAAGAGTGGAATTTGAACCCAATTACTTACCTTTGGTTGACTGGCCAGATGTATGTTTTTCTATCAGTGCAGTCTCCAACAGCTCTTTCTTTGGTTGGTGGGGATGAGGAAGGGGGACATGGTCGTGAAGAGGGCTGAAAGCCCACTGCCGAGTTGGGTTGTGTTTTGCATAGCCCTTTGACTTCCAGGAAGGTACAGAACAGAAAGCAACATCTCTCTAGTATTTGAAGTATTTGAGTTATTTTTGTCACTTTTTTTCTCAGGTCCACAAAAGGTGGCTCCGATTCCTCCCTTTCTGAGCTGCAAACAGCTCGGTCAGGCCGAGCCTTCCTATACCGAGTTCTCCGGGCAGCTCTCCCACTTCAGCTTCTCCTGTTGCTTCTCCTTGGGCTTGTCTGCCTCATACCAATGTCAGAAGAAGACTACAGTTGTGCCCTTTCCAACAATTTTGCCCGATCATTCCACCCTATGCTCAGATACACCAATGGGCCTCCTCCACTCTGAACCAAGCAGAGGCCACCTGCCAAAGCACTGGCAGCATGAAGAGGAGAAGCTCAGAAACAGTCCCAGGCTATCGAAGAGGACCTCAATCTTGGCAGAAGCCCTTGGTGAGGCAGCTTTCTCACTCCTCTGTGTCTGGAGTACAAGTCATGGTTCATGATGTGGATAAAACAATGTGAGAAGAGAACCAACAAAGTCTTTGGGGGTCTGAGCCTAAAACATTGGGTAAGGACACCCAAAATGACCCTGGATTAAGGACACCCAAAATGACCCTGGATTTATGAATGCTGGGCCTTTGGCCCATCAACACATAGCCAAGGCCTTGAGTGGACCATCTGGGCGGCTTCCCATGGCACTGCTCCCTCCCCAGCGCCATGCTAGTATAATACAATCTACCAACCAATCAGTGCTGAAGAGATTTTAGAACCTGTAACATACAATTTTTAAGAGCTTATGTAGCAACTTTCTTTGTACTTTTTTTGGGGGGGGGCATGATGTTCTAACCTTCGCTTAGAAGCACAAGCTGTAAATCTAAAAGGCACTTTTTTTAAAGATATAAAGAAAAACTAGATGTAATAAATAAAATTACGGAAGGCTTTATGTGAAAAAGAAGTTGAATGTTATAGTAAAGAAAGATATTTATGTAATGTACAGTTTGCTAAAGCCAAGTTTTGTTTGTATTGATTTCTTTGCATTTATTATAGATACTATAAAATATTGTGTCTTTGCTTTTTCTTCTGCTAAAAAAGTGACTTTTTCTAAATTACTAAGTAGGCATTAATCCAAATACAACCTGTTAGGATTTTTGTGAAATGAATGAAGCCAAGACATATATTTTAAAGAGAAAGGTTGATTAGAGGTAGTATATATTTAGACATAGAAGGACCTCAAGGATTCCTTGTCCCCTCTTCCTTCCAAAACCAATCAGATCTTAAGAATTCCTGCTTCCTGAATTGCTTCTTACTCTTTTCCCACTGCACAAGTAGAAAGCCCTCCTGAAACCTCCTCCCTAAAACCCCTTCTCTGGTCTGTCCCAAGGGTTTACAACAGCCACCAGAATTTTCTTGAAACCCTCTTTTCTTCAAACCCTTTCTCTTCTAGAAAGATTTTTTTTTCTATTAGACAAAATACAGTTTTAGTCTCTCATTCAAGTATAAATACTGAAGATTTTATTTTCCCCTTTGACCTTGCCAGCTCCTGGAATCAGTTGATGCTTGTTGCGTTTTAATCTACCATTTAGCAGTTTGAGGAGCCGGAGTTCAGCCTTCCATCGGAAACAGAAAACACAGTGAGCAGAGTATATATACCCGCTGGGCAAGAATGGCAGGGATCATTGGTTGCTGCTCTTAGGAATTGGAAACTTGTTTTCTATTTGACTTTTAGTCCATCGATTTCCCTCATGGCCAACACCCTGGAGATATTCAAGTTTACACATCTTGCTCTGTCTCAAATATTTGGATTAAACCAAGTGAGCCGGAGCTGACCTTCGTGGTTTCTGTGATGTACGCAGGTTGAGGGCCCTCTCAACACTGCATCCTGAGATTTAGTGAACTTTTGATTTCTGGGATGACTTCAGCCTACAGGGCAGGACCTGGGAGCTCGTCCTTTACACGGGTACCTGGATGTCTTTAGCTCTGCTGACCGATAAGAAGCACTACCCCACATTCTCTTGCCATCATGTCTTTGTCTTCAACACCCATTTTCTCCTGCCTCACAAGACTGTTCACCAGCTCCTCCTTGGAAGACTTCCGGATCACTTTCAGTCACTTAAGACTCCCCTGTGGAGAACTTTGCACCTGTGGCACTGGTAGCCTGTATACTGCGCTCCCTACTGGTCAGTCTATCCCTCTCAAATATCCCCTGAGGTCCTTCTCAGGGGACAGTGTTGATTTAGGGAAAGGACAAAGTTGTCCTATCTCCCTGCTTCTGGAGTGTGCGTGCGTTTGAGTCAGACCTCTCTGCGGGCTGAGTCTCTCCGTCGCCTGCCTGTCACTCCGGGCCCCCAGAGCAGTCACCTATTCACCTGAAACACACCACGTGGTCAGGCAGAGTCTCTGGAAAGCCAGGCATGAGGACTTCAGAGGCTTTTTCTTCCTGCATGACTGCTCACTTACATTTTAGACATTACCCATTACTGAAAAATCCAATGTTCAATATTTCAGAAAGAAGAATTTTTTTAGCTATTTCCAGCTTGAAACTGAACCTAGACCACTGCTCATAATTACTCTATCCCTAGACCCTGAAAAGGAAAAAAAAAAAGTTTTAATTAGGAAAATGCTTGTAATCCCTATGTGTCTTTTTCTAAACTGTGTGAAGCACCTGGTGCTGTGCACAATACACACTTCCATTAAAGTCTCCCAGGCTTCACAGCACCTTGGAAAGGGAGCTCCAGGGAGAGCAGACGCTGAAGCCATGAGGCCCTGGCTTCCCCAGATGAGCAGATGAGACCAGGACCTCTGCCTGGAGACCTCAGAGCCTCCAGGGTCTTGGAGGAAAGGGCACAGGTCCACAGCCAGCAGTTACCTCAGCAACAGGCAGGCGTGTTCCTCAAAGCCTTTGTGGAAGGGATGAATAATTTAAAGAACTCTCATGCAAGAAAAGGCTACTTTTCTTGGCAGTTGAAGAGGCTCACGGTTTTGGAGTAAGGATGGGCAGGAGTCCTGAGTCGTGAGCAGTGGAAATGATGTCTCAGGTGAGAGGAGATGAGGATGACCCCAGCCAAAGAAAGCACCAACTGACCAAGAAGGGTGGGGAGAGAAGGGTGAAAGCGTGTTGGCGGGGAGACCTGTGCAAACAAGCAGAAACTGAGAGGGTGGACAAGAGAAATCTCATGCGGTAAAGATGGAAAGTAAGGCTTAGAAGCTAAAAGTACTGCAGTAAGACATTCAGGTAGAACATAAAGGTTTTCTGGAAAACTATGCCTCAGGAGCGAGAATCAGGCCTCCAGGAAGACAGCAGGTCAGCAGCTTCCCTTGTTTGTGTAAAGAGAAGTGACACTTCCAAGGCTCAGAAGGAAATTCTTCAAGCCAAATACGGAGATTTACTATGAGAGGGCAGGTAGAGGGAGACTGATTTATAGCCTTCACCCTGAGACCAAATATTAAGAAATTATAGCTACAGAAATGTGTTGCCAAGCTGTGTAGAAAGGCCATAAAGCAGTGAACAATGGAGTGAGAGATTTATGCAAGTTGGTCGTGGCCAGATAGGCAGGGCTCCGGAAACACTGGTCTGGGTGCACCTGGGCAGCTCCACGGTTGGCTTCTTTGCTTTGTGCCTACTGCTCTGTGCTCACGCCACCAAACCTCCACGGGGAATTGTGTATCACTTACAATGGTCTCTGAGTGCTTGCCAGATAGGTCCCAAAAGGCCTGGCCTGAGAGGTAGCCAGCAAATGTCTGCTGCGTTGCCAGAACTGCTCCAGCGTGCTTTCCAGTCCGCTCTCGGCTAGGACGCCATAATGTCCTGGTGATTACCCATCCAAGCCCTGCTCGCTGGGCCACTACGTGGCCCCTTCTCTTCCTCCACTCCTTTAGTCCTGGAGCAAGGATGCAAGTGGAAGCCAGAACCCATAGAAACGGAACCTAATTTAGGAGTGGGAAAGGACATTAAGTCTATTAAATGTGTCTTTATTTTCTCAGGACAAATTGGCTCTTTTAACTTCTTTGTCAGCGGTTTGTGCTATAGCAGGATGCATTTTGGAAACAGAGGTAGGTAGAGTGGTTTACAAGCCGGGGGGCAATTTTCAGCTTAGTCATACTCAGTAGTGAGAGGCTAATTTTGGAGCAGAGAGATGTTTTGCTGAGCGTGGCTGTTGTAATTTTAGATTTAATGATACACCGTGATAGCTGTGGCTCTTCATCGTACCTAGAGCAACCCAGAGGGAATGAAACTGTACAGGAAGGATATTTGCTCTGCGAGTCCTGGCTTCTCACTCCCTCTCCCTGCCATCTGTGTAGTGTGCACCGCCTGCCCACTGGGGACCACCGCTAAGCAGTCTACATTTTAGGGAGACCCTCCCGCCAGTGAATGAGCAACACAGGGCACACCAATGGCTGCCCTCAGCTACAGTCAACAGGCAAAGCTGTCAGAACGGAACCGGGTGAGGAAACCTGACCGACACTCTGCGGCACAGCCACCCGAGAACACTTAAGCCAGAACAGACGAAGCCAAGTGGGAATGTGGAGGAATCTTCTTAAAATACGGAGGTCACGGAAAAATAAATCAGCCTTATAGATTTTTTTTAACCTGTTACCTAATACAAATGTAAGAGCATTACTGAATCTGTAGCCAACGCTGTATTAGACAAAGTCCCTCGTGAGCCGCGCCACAAAAGAAACCCAGCCCACTGGCTGACGGGTCCCTTCAGAGCCACACGGATCTGTGCTGTGGCCCGAGGCCTCAGTGCTCTTGCATGAGTTCTTTAGGTACCTGCTAAGCTGAGAAAGCCAAGCCACTGACAGCTGCTGAGGTCACCTATAGTTCCAGGCAGCCTCTCCTCTGCCCCAGAACACATTTCAGCAGAAACTCAGCACCACCACCGCCTCCCAGGCCCTGTGGGCTGCATGGGTTGATGGGGAGCAGCAGGGAGGGATCTCACGGCCAGGGTTTTCTAAATCTTGTTCCTGATCAGCGATGTCTTGGGTCCCTGTCCTCTAGAAACTTAGACTTGTACACATTTGGCCCCAGGCCAGACTTCCAGGCCCAGCCTCGAGGCTGTCCTTCCAAATCTTTTACCCTCTCCACGGGTCACAATTGCAAGTCCTATAAGCAAAATCCCCCATGCTTCCCATGGCTTTTCATGGCAGCTTCACCAAACAGTAAGTTTCCGTATAAATCTGAAATTTTAATCCACGTTCTAACCTATGCTACAGACCCACTAGCCACTTGCTGTCTTAATTACAGTAATAGGTAGTGTAATTAATGATAGGAATAAAATACAGGTGCAATATGCAATTTAGCAAATAATAAAATATGTAACATAAATGTATATTACCATTATTAATAATTCACAATGTATTAGGTAAGTTTTCATGTATCTTTGGAGAAGTACCATTTCCCTCTAGGCATGTATCCATTTTAAAATCTAATTGTTAAAAAAATCAACAACTTTAGTTACTAATTTTCTCTTTTACAAAGAAAAATAGTTTCATGTGTTTTGATCAGTTTTGTTTCAGTACTGAGGATGGAACTCAAAGCTACCGCCCCAGAATTTTGTTTGTTTGGTTGGTTTGGGGTTTTGTTTACACAATTTCTCAGGCTCTAACTCATGATCCTCCTCCTGCCTCTGCCTCCTAGAGTTTTGGGATTTAGGTGTGCACTACTAAGTCCAGCTTCTAATTTTATGTTACTTTTCTATGCCTTATGATTTTTCTCATTCAAATAGCATACTACTTTTTTAAAATTAAGGGCTATTTTTTCTGTAGCATGAAGTTTTCATGTTATAATAATCTACCCACACATGTCATTCATCATTAAATATCCTGGATATCTCAGGGCCTTTGTTCTTTTCCTTGTGTTTTAAAAACTAAACTGTATTGTGTATTTATGAGGTTTACAATCATATGCTATGGGATGCCTATAACAGCTACTATAGTAGATTAACATTGTCATCCCAAATGGTCATTTGTGTGTGTGTGTGTGTGTGTGTGTGTGTGTGTGTGTGACAGGACCAGCTAAAATCTACTTATTCAACAA